GCCATGTGAAATAACCTGTGGCTGTTCATAGAGCAGAGGGGAAAAGTGTGACAGATATGCTGTTAAGTCTACCAAACTTCCATTCCTGGTCGGTGCTTTATCTTTGTGGGGTGCAAATTGTCGATGATTATGTGTGTAAATACAGATTTTGATATCTTTTTTTTGGCCAATAGATTTTGATATCCTTACATTACCGGAAAACAAAATTATTACCCTGGAAAATCATGTTTACTCTGCTTTGCAATGCAAATTTTCAGATTGCTTTGAAGTGGAAATTTTATAGAATTGGATAATTTTTTTTTTAATGCAAGCAATTTGATAGAAGGAGACAAAGAATATGTGGCTGTGGGCCTAGCCTTATCCATATTTCAATTGACACGAATTGGGGGGTTATGATTTTGCCGCAGATGTGAAGATAAGAACGAAAATTGAGGCATCCAGGCTGATATTTTACTTCCTTTTCTTACCAAACAATTAAGGATCATTACATTTTTCTTTACCAGAAAAAAAAAATAATAGGATTTTAGCTGCCCGATTTTTGCTTATCTTTGTTGCCTTTAGGTCATTTCATTTGGATATTCCAAGGCCTGAAACAAATGGCTAAAAGTAAGTCCTATGACTTATAAAAGCAATACGGCTTAGCCCATCGCCCGAACAGCAGAAAAATTTCGGCTCGGTCAGTTTAGGAATAGAGTATGGGCTCTTTGGGTTCAAGAAGTTGGGCCATAACCGAGACTGATCATATGAAGCGCAGGGTTGTAGATTACTGTCAACTGTCGACCTCAGAACAATGTTGCTATCTGGATTCGAACTGCTTTTTGTCATTTAAATCCAGAAATATCTTTTACCCTCAGGGATAAAAAAAAAAAATCCAACAAGGTCAGAAATGAAGAGCAAAGTGCAATTGCCCAGGAAAACAAGCACTCATTTGGTTATGAATTATGATATATATAATATCATATATTTTTAGCAAAACTTTTTTTTCCAAAAACACGATAGTGATAGATATTTGTTACTATATTGGTAGCCCATGGTAAAATTTTAAGAATGCTTCATAAATTCCATGTTACACATTTAAACAAAAACTAGACGGTGTATAGCGCCCTTTGTTTGACATGGCCTGCGTGTCGTACATTGCCATAGATTTTTATTTGGTTTGATATGTGAGCCACAGAAAATTGCAATGTGAACCACTAACTTGAGATTTGATCCGAATAAGCACAAGTGGAGGTGAAGGGACTCGATATCCGATTCTGCTTGACACATGGCAAACCAGTAGCCAATTGGGCTTCTACTCTCCTATCCTTTCAGATAAGCCCCTGGATTCATTAACAGATTTGAATATCGATGCTGCCTCACCTACAACCCCAACTCATTGAAGCACAGGAAATTTGACCCAAAATGGCCTCCTTTTGTGCTTCTTCTGCTATTGCAGCTGTTGCCATCTCATCCCCCAGGCAAGTTCTCTCTTTACCTTATTATCATCAACCAGCTTCAAATGTTAAAACGATACAAAATGTCTGCACATGCAAATGTATTAGAAATGAACTAGTAGTTAACCATTTATGATGATCATAGTTTAGTATCCCATCTGATTCAGAAGCTGATCATGGTAGACTGGTGAGGATCGATTTTTCCAACTTATTCTTGTGAATTTTGTAGAATTCTTTGGATAAAATGTTGTACACAAACTAGAAATAGCTACCATGTCCATGAGATATATATAAAGCTCTGCCGATCAGTTTATGATGTAAGATAATGTTACAGTTCCCAGAAGACTGGATCTGTAGTGGGGACAACAAGGGCTTCTTTCCTTACTGGGAAGAAACTTAGATCAGTGAGAAAGTATACAAAACCAGCTGCGGCACGAACAGTTCCGGTGTGCGCAGCAGCCGACCCCAACAGGCCTCTTTGGTTCCCCGGCAGTACTCCTCCTCCATGGCTTGATGGCAGGTACTTTCAATAACATTTTACCACACTTTCGAAGTATTATTTTCTATACAAACCTTCTCCTAAGTCCTAACATTCATTTGTATCCTTTGGTGCAGCCTCCCTGGAGACTTTGGTTTTGATCCTCTAGGCCTTGGTAAGTTTAATCCATAGCAGTACCTCACAATCATTTAAAAAAAAAGTTACTTTTATTTTCTTTTGTGTGTGTGTGTGTTTGTATATTCTTTTGTAGTAATATTAATTCTTCATTTATAATGGGGTTTTTAACAGGATCTGACCCTGAGACCTTGAGATGGAACGTACAATCAGAGCTTGTCCACTGCAGATGGGCAATGTTGGGAGCTGCTGGTATTTTCATCCCAGAGTTCCTAACAAAAATTGGCATTTTAAACACTCCTTCATGGTACTCAGCTGGAACAGAGGAATACTTCACTGACACCACAACCCTCTTCATAGTTGAGCTTATTTTCATCGGCTGGGCAGAAGGGAGAAGATGGGCTGACATTCTCAAGCCAGGCTGTGTAAACACCGACCCCATCTTCCCTAACAACAAGCTCACTGGGACTGATGTTGGGTATCCAGGTGGCCTGTGGTTTGACCCTCTTGGCTGGGGAACTGGTTCTCCTGAGAAGCTCAAGGAGTTGAGGACGAAAGAGATCAAGAATGGTAGATTGGCTATGTTGGCTGTGATGGGTGCATGGTTCCAACACATCTACACTGGCACTGGACCTATTGACAACCTATTTGCCCATCTTGCCGATCCTGGTCATGCTAACATTTTTGATGTAAGTGCAGCCCCTCTTTTAATCATATAGCACTTGGATCTTAACCTTTTATAGGTGCTCCATTTTCGCGTTTAATTTGAAACCAGCAAGAAATTCTAAATTCATTAATACTTATTAATTAGTCAGAATTTCTACTGACAAATCTCTATGATTATAGATCTCGTTGCTTGTTTTGTAGGCTTGTACTAACTGTTCTTATTCTCCATTTCAGGCTTTCACCCCAAAGTAAGACACAACAAGGAAGAACCCTAACAGTAATTAAAATGTTGTAGAAACATTGATGATCATACCTTTGCCTAAGTAGCAAGGAGATGGAAAGATGTGTACTCTTGTGTGGGGAATGTTTGTATCAGTAGAAATTGTGATGCCTCTGTTTGTTGTATAGATGATGCAGTGATGTACACATGCCTCTGGAATTAGATGCAATGAATATTTATTCAGGTTAACCAACATTCATGAACTGAAAAGCCCGAAAATGTTGCAAAATCCATAGATCAGGGCCCCAAAAGATAAATCTATAGTCATTTGTAGTTACAAATGTTCACTTCAAAATAATCCTCATTAATTGACAATCTACTCAATCTAACAGCTTCAACGTTCGAACGCTTGATACTCGCCTGGAAACCTCATTCTATGCTGTATTGCCAACAATGGCTGAATTAAAAATCTTTTCCTGTTTGAGACCAGCTAGTCTGCATTATGTGGATAATTAACTTACTTGCTAATCAGCCAATTTGGAGACCAGCTTTTCTGCATTAACACACAAAGCTGGAATTCAAAGGCTAAAAAAAAAGAAAAAACAATTCCGTCATTGGATATACACGATTGGGCCAATGAAAAAAGATATTATAGTTGTGTTACCATTTCCATTATTTTATTATCATCTAAATCATGCTGCAATTTGAATAACAGGATAGAAAAAGGAAAAAGTTACTCCTTACAAAAGCAGTAAGTGTTCACTTTGGGTTTAACTAATAATGACTTAAACAACTCATTGTGGGTGACGTCCAGCTGTTAAGTTGCAATTGAACATGACATGAAATTCTAACATAAGTTATTCTCATGACTGTTCTGAATGAAGTTAGATATGGACATTCTTCAACCAAATCTTAACAAAGATTTCCAAGCTCAAGCAATTTAATTTAACGATCGATGTATAATTTTTATTTTTTGGGTTAGAGTAAATTTGAAATAAATAGATTGTTTAATTCTTCATATTAAAAAAAAATACATCGTATCTGATAATCTAATATAGGTGATTCATGTCATGCATTTACGGTCACTAATAAGACTTAAACACAAAACCATTTAATCGAAAAGAACGAATTTTAATCAATTGAACCAATTATTTATTAATATTCATGTATAATTTTCTTTAATTAAAGAATTGAACTCAAAATTTTGATTTCTCAATTATCAAAAAAAAAAAAAAATCAAACTAATCTACATAGAAGTTTCAATATTTTTTGTATATAAGAGATCACAGCTCAAGAATAATAGCAGTTGTAGTTTTTTTATTTTGAATTTTAAACATGTTAAAAATCATATGTTATAAATGATTATATGAATCAAATGACTTAAATTTAGAGTTTAAAAATTTTCAATATTTTACATCCAACAAATTGGTGCATGATTTAGTTCTCATTCTAATTGGAGCCTCCTTTTAACATGGTTCGTATGTTTTCTCTGCATTTCTACGTGTTTGGTTATTCTTTCATCCAAATATTCCAATCTCATAGAGGCAACATAACCCTACAACCATAAAAAACATTGTCATATTTTTGCCACAGCATCTTAATATAAAAATTTAAGACTATGTTTAATTTGAGAAAAAAAAATTTTATTTGTATTTTCTAGAAAATAATTTTTATTTTTTGTTTTTAAAAAATGTATTTAATAAACAAAAATAAAAAATATTTTTTAAAAATACAAAAACAAAGAAATAAATAAAATATTCAATAATATTATTATTAATGACATCTAATTATAATATAATATATATTTATTAATTAATAACATTAAAAAGTATTTAAATTTAATAACTTACAAAACATAAAAAATATATATACATAATTTATTTTCACAATTGAAAATATTTTTTTATTTTTATATTTTAACCCATTATCATTTTTATTTTTTAAAAATTTATTTTCATTTTCAATTTTCAAACACATTTTTAGTTATGTTTTTTCATTTTTCAAAAAATTAAAACAAAAAAATCACTAAAATCAAATACTACCTAAAAATCAAATACTACCCGAATAATTTGGTCCCAATTCTCGGGTAACAGTAGCTTTTAGATTGCAACTATTTCCTTCTTCACTTCAATTATTGCATGAACAAATTCGACAAGTTCAGTCTTCTTACTTATTACATCATCAAAATTCACAAAATAATTAAAAAAAAAAAACAATAGCAAATATTTTTTAAATGTTTTTAGGAGAACCTATTTTATATATTCATGGAATTCTTGTCCTAGGATGTAAATCTTTACAACAATTCTCTAAATTCTTTACAAAAAACTGAAAAACATAAACTACCAACGATAAACTTAGTAAAATCAACAAAAAAGAGAAGACACCATAGTCCAAAATTTTGAGAAATCCCTTTTTTAAATGGATTAAGCAAAGAAATTACCAAAAAAAAAAAACCCGGTGCTTACCTGACAGGACAAGTTACAAGTAAGCTATAAACTTACTTCAAATTTTTATAAGAATCTGAATACAGTCATAACAATACAAGATTACAACTTTCTCAACTCTCCATCTCTCTCTTAAAACTATTATATTACATAATTAAATTTCGAAAGAAAAAAAATATAAAATTATAGTAAGAAAGAGTTTTGGGGCTGTCATCATTCATGGAGAGCCAAAACCAGGTTAATTAGGGGCTCCTATTCGTCGGTTGACGTACAGAAATCTGGACCGGAATGGGGCGGCCAGTACCAGACCCACCACAACTGCTGCACGCCATGCGACCCGACCCCGCGCAAGTCCGACAGCCGACATCTCCATCGGACCAACGCGAACAAGTGCATGTGACGCGACCCGTGCCGTTGCAAGTTGGGCATCTCTGAAACGGGCCGGCCATGGGCTTCTGGTCCATGACCGATTTGACTAACACGGCTCCGGCCAAGACACCCAAGCCGGTTGCCACCTGAGTCAAAACGATCGGACCCATATGGATTTAAGATGGAATTGGAAGCTTTCAATTCAACGGAGCAGAGACAGGAGGAGAGACCTAAACACCAAACAAAGAGAGAAAAAAAAGAGAAAATATTAGAGATCTTTTTCGTAACAATTAACATATTTTAGTTTTATTTGGTGAGGAATATTTAATATTATAATAAAAAAGGTGGTCATGGAGTTGTACACGTGGAAACGCGAGTGTTTAGTGGCGCGTTTGGGTTTCAGATTTTTTTATTTTTTTTTTGCGTCACTTTGGGTTTTGACCGATGGCTGGCCTTGGTGAGCGGGCGACGTTGCTTATTTCTCTTCTCTTCTTTGGACGATAATTTGGGTTTTGGCTTCTGCTGGACTGGGGACATCTCCTGATTCTTATGTAAAGAAATTTGTTTGTTTTTGAATTTTTGAGTTTGATTTTTTTTTTTTTTTACAAATTGTTGTTTTAATCAACGGTTATGAATTTATGGTCTGTCGTCAATTTAATCCAAAGACACTGAAATGGATACGGATCCATTCCCAGACTACTTTTAATCATATCCAAAGCTGTTTCTTTCTTTTTTTCTCTTTAAAAATTTGCTATAATTTTTTAGTATTGACTCTTGACTTCAAATTTTGAGATAATATATATGTACCAAAGAAATTAGATAATATAAATAAAATTTGAAATTAGTAAAAGCTCACATTTTATATACTACTTGTCTCATCAATGCCACGACTTTTTTTGTTTCATGAAATGTTTAATTTTGTTTTTCCAAATATGCTGAAAAATTCTGTGTTAGGACAAATATTTAAAGATTATGTTGGGTGACTAAATGAGATTTTAATAGTAAGTATGAAATATTTTCGTAATTATGTAACTTCATATTCAACTTAGAGACAGCCAAATTCGCCCAAATTGAAGTCAAGCACCGCCATTCTTTTTTTATATTTTCATTTCCTCTATGTTCAATCTTTATTAATGAGCAGCCTAAATTTCCAAATAAAGTTTATTCGATGACATGATGCATGAAAGCAATCCAATTTCTATTTTTTTTGTTGGGAATTTAAACTCGAAAAGTCTCATCCAATTATCAAATTACGTGGAATGAATTTTTCTAAGGTTCAATTATGTAAGAAGAAAAAAAAAAGGGAAAGAATTTTTTAATTAAATGATTGAATTATAAAATAAAACATGTGATTATTTTTTTTAATCATTAAATTATTTTTTTTTTCTTAGTAAACAGAGTGAAAAAGAGAAAATATATATTCCTTGGTGTTTAATGATGTTAGTTAAAGATCATATATTTAATAAAAAATTATAATTAATGTATCGTTGCTTTTAAATTTGATAAAAGTATTATATTAAATACAATATAATTTTTCCTAAAATGTCTTAATTTTTTTTTAAAATCTACGTCTATAGACTATAGCTTAAGTAATCGTTTACTAAAGGAAGGAATTATAATTGAAATTGAGGTATGTTGGTTATTGGACCTTAAAATGAAGTTTTTTTTTTTTGAATGAATGAAAGTTAATATTAGCAAGACTATTTTTTTTTTTTATTTAAAGTTGCAAGTATGCGAATCTACATTTACTTTGCCAACGCAGTCAAAGCGACTTTATAGTTATAACTGTAATTCATAGGACAAAGAACTCGTGAACATTAAAGCATTATTGCGTACAAGAATTAAGAAGAGGAGTTTGTTTTGGAAATGGTGGCAATAGATTGTGTGATGTGAAACTAAAACTTCAACAGGCGACTTAACCTCAACCGAATTATCAGAGGAAAACGCCATTTAACTTTTTGATTTCGGCATGTGCTCGACTTATATATAGCACGAGCATTGACAAAGATCAATTCAATGTGAAAGAAAGAAAGAAAGAAAGAAAGAACATCCAGGAAAATAGTCGGTCCATTTTTGGATATAAATTTAATTGTTGCAAAAAAAAAAGAAAAGAAAAAAGATATCAGGTTTATTAAAGAAATGGGGGGCAGAAAATAGAGAAAATCTGACACTCTCCGCAAACCTTTTCCCATAAAATTCTTCCTTTTTACCGGAAGATTGTGATCTAAAATTCTAAGCCCCTTTTTATTTCCCTCAAAATTTTGAAGCCATCCCTAGAATGCTTGCAAAATTTACAGCAGTACCACTTTAACAGCAAGAAAGTGAAACTATCAGGGTCGTTTGGTAACGATTTTATTTTCTGTTTCTTTTTTTTTTTTTTTTTAAATTGAAAACAAAAACATGGTAACTTATTTTTATTTTTTGTTTTTGAAAACTGAGAACAAAATTTTAAAAAAATTTTAAAATTTTTTAAAACAGAAAAATAGTATTTTCAATTTTTTTGAAATAATTTGACACATTACCATACAGATACTATTCATAAAAATTACAATTAAACCATTACAACGATATTATAATTCTTATATTAATAAAATAATATTTTTATTATATAAATATTATATCAATAATATATCATTAATATAATATATTATTTATTAATATAACATTATTTTATTAGTAAATAAAATAATATTTATTAATATATTAATAAATATTATTATATTAATATTATTATATTATTAATAACAAAGGGAACCTAAAAGCTTTAACCACTTTCTATTACATATTATTTTTACATTCCTAAAACAAAAACATTTTATTCAAATATGTTTTCAAATTCGATAAATTAAAAATAAAATAAAAATAAAACAAAACAAAAACTTCGAAAACATAAAACATAAAAAGCACAACAATACCAAACAACCCTTAGTTTTACAAAATAATTCCCCCATTTTGCTACAAAATTGTTGAGTGCATTCTTACATGGCCAAATAACCAAGCAACTTAAGCCTGGATTGAAAATGCCTTTATAAACCTGTATGTTTGTTTAAACACTGAACTGGACTAACTGAAAAAGACGACGCATAAACAAATGAACTCTTTTTAGGCTCAAAAAACAACGGACTTGTCTGATATTGATGTCGATCCTTGAAGTTCTTATGTAATGTAAGAAAAAATGATCATCCTCATGCCGAAACTGCAATTTCAGCATATTTTTTGTATGTGAATAATCGAGGCACACCTGCAAAATGTGCAAATTAGTTGGGATGATTAGTTGGTTGTATAAGATGCGTGGGGAGAGAACATTTTTCACTCCAGCGGTATCCAAACTCAGCCAACAACGCTTGAGAACATTTGCTGAAAATTGCGAATTTATCAGCATGCAACCATTATATTTAATTAGTACCTAACCCAAAGTAGTTGACAATTGCAGCCTCTGGCTGGAACTCTTCCCCAATAGGCATCGCGGGCTCAGCCATTCTTTTAGCTAGCTGACAAAGTGGATCAGGTATTTTGTTATGAGGTAGTGACCCATCATAGCTCCGCTGCACCAAGAATACACTCAATTTAGAAACCATCTCAACATAAATAAGCTCCTTCATCGTCATACATGGTGTTCATTTCTCAAGGTTATGATATGATCAGCACATCGTCATATATACTTGAATGATAACTTATAAATTACTATCATACATTCACAAAGTTAAATGAAAAAGGTTTCTGCGACAATAGTTGAAAAAAGGAATGTGTCAGAATTAGAAACCTAGAACTAAATCTAATTCAATCGACTAGATCAAACTGAATAACCTTAAAATTCTATCCCTTGGCTGTTCGATATCATCTTCACTAACAAAAGAACAAGGAAGAAGGTCAAAGACTAAATGAGTGATTACCTACATTGGACCAGTTAAATTGAAGGCCAAGGATGCTCCACCGTAGCCTTGACAGTGAAACATAAGCAGAAACTGATTTACAAGTCTTTCCCCTTGACCGAGCAATGTCTTCCTCATAAAATTTCCATCTATGAGCATCTCCATTGCTCACAGAAGCACTTGATTCAGAATCCAAGTAATTCTCTGACCTTTCCTCCTCAACGAATACTTTACCTTCCTTCGTCGCAACAAACAGCCATAAATAACTTTTGTCATTTTTTCTGTTTTCTGTTAGGAGGCTGCCGAAACCTCGTTGAACTTTCCCTTATCCATTTACATCGTTCATCCAAGGTCAATGCCTCGGGAATAAAATAGAACCCTGCATTTTAGAACAATTCATAAAAAATAGAACAAAAAAAAGTTCAAATTTCTTCTCTATTTCGAAACTCATTGAACGCAAAAGGAAGAACAGATACCAGGACGATTTTCCAAGCCAAAAACTCAACGATATATCCACGAGGCAGTTCGCCTTTCTGATTGTTGGACTCAGAAATGGATTTGAAATCCCAAACCTCTGATAAATAGACTTGTGTTTTTTCCTGAGAAATTCAAACGAAATACTCAATGAAAAAAAAAAAAAATTTTTGAGAAATCTTGTTCTTTTTCTAAAGTAAAGCGAACTAAATATGAAAAAGAAGCTGAAAAGTGAGGTACTTTTTGGAGGATTACGAATTCTCCTAGTAATGAAGCTTGAACTTCTTCTCTCCTTCCTGAGCTGGTGAGTTAACTCAGAATCACTCGAAGTAAACCGCTGATGATTCAGAATTAAGGTTTTAACTGGGTTTCTTAACGGTTTTATTTTAGGGGTATTTATTAGCAATTTTTAGATTTTGACAGAAAAAGTGATTTACGAAAAAAGTGATATTGAAGGATAATGTATAAATTTTCAGTTTATATTAATTTAAAAAAGATAAAATTTTTATATTTGATTAGTAAGAATATAAAATTATATAATAAATATTTTTATTATATTATTTTTGATAATACATAAATAATATGTGATATTTTTAATATTAATATGGGAATAATATGTTATTTTTATTGAAATTAAATAATTTTTAAAAATAATATTTATATGTTTAGTAAATATAATTTTATAATTCTAATCACTATATTAATATTGATTGATCTTGTGCCAAAAAAAAAAACACGCAGATCGACCTTGACAATAAGGTCAACCTGAGAGTTGGAAGGAGATGACAAGCCCTATTCCTCGGGGTTTTTGCTTAGGATAAATGTATAGCAATATTAGTATTATATAAATGTATTTTAAATTTTATAAGTAATAATATCAAATAAAGATATTTTACTTTTTTTTTTATTCTTAACAAAGATTGAGTATTTTATCTTAAAAAATTAATTTTTTCAACAAAAATTATATTTTTATTTTTAAAACATCGCTTTTATTGAATTCTAAATATATATTTTTTCATATTTTTAACAATGATTGTATTTTTATTTTAGAGACGTTATATTTTTTTCATATTTTCCACAAAAGCTATTTTTTTAATCTTAAAAAATTCCTATTTTCAACAAAATTTATATTTTTCATTTTAGAAACGTCATTTTTAATAAAGTTTGAAAAATATATTTTTTCATAATTTCAACAAAAATTACATTTTTATTTTAAAAACGTCATTTTTATTGAATTTTGAAAATATATTCTTTTATGTTTTCACTAAAAACTGTGTTTTTATCTACAAAGAAGTCATATTTTCAACAAAAATTATATTTTTTATTTTAGAAACGATGTTTTTATTGAATTATATAAGTTTTTTTTTAATATTTTTTAACAAATACTATGTTTTTTTTTTTATTTTAGAAACGTCATTTTATTAAATTTTAAAAAATATTTTTTCATGTTTTCAGCAAAAAATACATTTTTATCTTAAAAATATCATCTTTTCAATAAAAATTATGTTTTCTATTTTAAAAATATTGTTTTTGTTGAATTCAAAAAAATATTTTTTCATATTTTTAATAAAAGCTACGTTTTCTATATTAGAAGCATTGTTTTTATTAAATTCTGAAAAATATTTGTTCCATATTTTCAACAAAAATTATATTTTTATCTTAAAAATTCATCTTTTCAACAAAGCTATATCTTCTATTTTAGAAACATTATCTTTATTGAATTCTAAAAATTTTTTTTTTATTTTTAAATAAAAACTACATTTTTTATTTTAAAAACATTGTCTTTATTGAATTCTAAAAATTATTTTTTTTCATAATTTTAACAAAAATTATTTTTTTAAAATATTATAATATATAACTACATTTCTAATATAACAATATTGTGTAAATGAAAATTTTTGAATTTATTTTGATTTTATTTTATATACAATGAATTACATTTATAATTATTAAATATTGTCTTTCTAAAATTTTGTCAATTGAAAACAAAATATTTAATTATACATAATTATTGTCAAGTATCAAATCATGTGATTGAGCATGCAGTTTTACTTGTCATAATAGGTTTCAATTAATTATATAATTATATTGAATTTTAAAGCTAAAATAAACAACAAAAAATTATTATTGAAAGCAAAAATGTGACAAATTTTATATTCCACCATAAATCCTAAAAACCAGGAGAGGTGGGTTAAACATTCTCTTCCCATTAAAAATGAAGTATCTTTCACTTTTACCTTCTCTTCGACTTGTTTTTTATAAATAAGTTTAATGTTAAAAATTACCTTTGAACATGAATATTAAATGTGATGTATGAATTTTTAAAATCTCAAATATAATATTTAAATTATAAATTTAATAATTAATGTATTATTTATTTTTAAAATATTTAATTTCAAATGATTATACTGATAGATAAATAATTTTTTAAATATTATATTAATTATTTTTTAAATTTAAATATAATTCATAACAATTTAAAAATAATTCATAACATTAACGTTCGTAAATATGTCAATAAAAAAAATCTATAGATAAGTTAATGAAACTCAATTTAAAAAATATTTTGGATTCTATTTATTTATTTTCAAGATTACTTGTATTCGAGTATTTCAGGATAATCAAGCAAAGCTAAATTCTTAGTCCTTGGATGCTTGACTCAAAGGGGAAAAAAGGGAAGAAACTTGAGAATGGTGCACGTAGGTTATTCCGTTCATTTTGTTAAGCAAGTTACATACATAATGCCAAGCTCAAGGATAACCAAGTCAAGATTCCATCAAAGTAGGATTCTGTAAAAAAGTAAGATCAGGTGCGCTCGTGACTACTGTAAATTGTTAAGTTATTCATGGAACATCCTCCGTTTTATTGACTATCTTCTGTGATGGCGGCTAAAGGGTATGAGCACTTTACTTTCTTTGTTTCCAGGAAGTGATCAAGTGGAAGCAAAGTGAGGACCCACTAGGCCACAAGGCGAAAAATGGGGGCGCCCGTAACAAACCAGTGACAGAGAAAAACTCTCGTTGATTCAATGGACGGAGCACAGATATATAAAGGACGCCAGAAATTATGAATTAATCAGAACAAAAAAAAAAGGAAAAGGGATCAGAGATGGCGTGCAGGACGTTATTGCGTTCCGTTTTCATGACGGAGCCGTGGAGGCCTCTGCAACGAAACGGGAATTTCTGTACTGTTGAAACGTTGAGGAGCTTTGGAATTTCTGCTGCGAAGAGAGGGAGCCGCGGATGTTACGCTACGGTTGTTAGTACTCGAGACGTTCACTTTTGGAAACGGACTCAGAAACTGAATAGCTGTCACAATGAAACGCCGTCGTCTTCGACATCTGAGGAGGATGACGTTGATCAAGGCCCTCCTCAGGAAGCCATTCTCAAAACAATTTCAGGTTCCCTTCCTCTTTTGAATCAAACTAATTTTGATTTCCTTTTTTTCTGAAATTTTTGTTTCTTTTTGTTGGGATAAATTGGATAAATTAAAGATATTTAATTTAATAGATTGATTGTTATAAATGGTAAAATAACAATAAAAATTGGTTGGTATAGCTTTTATTAGTAAAAAAAGAAAAACAGATAAATGCCTATGAAAATTACATTTTCAGGAGTTGAAGGAGGCAAGAGCCATGGGAAATATGATTTCATCAATCATCATTTTGCTTAGCTGCATCAAGTATGAATCTTTTGAGCAAGAACATTGAAGGAACTACTCCCTCTTCAAAAGTAAATAGAATGATTCTTCGGATATATCTTTCTAAATACGTATGTCTACATGTTTATGTATTGGTTACAAACGGAATTTGATGCTTGCTTAAATCCTTGCGATTTAACTTTTGCTTTTCTATTCCATCTACCTGCCGCTGTCTTTTACTTGTAGAAGGGTCTATTGATGTACTGACATAACGACATAGCTCTTGGTTTTGGAATTCAGAGGTATCAAAGACAGAAGGGAGAGTTGGGCAAACCACAAATGTGGTTATTGGTGGTACAGTAGCAGATGATTCGACTAATGAATGGCTTGCTTTGGATCAGAAGGTATGTCGTACCCTCTCCTAATTTCCAATCCTCTCAAGTGGTTTCAGACAATAGCTTTTCCTTCGCTTTTAAACTAAATTTGAAGAGATTGAATTCATTTCAATCGGACATTCCTTCATTTGGGTGTCTGTGATTCATGCAGCTTGTTATATTTTAGATGCTTAAGGCTTTCACATTCTTTTGGCAGATTGCTTTTTTTTTTCAGGTCAACTCATACCCTACTGTTAGAGGATTTATAGCGATTGGAACCGGAGGTGATGATTTCATACAAGCTATGGTTGTTGCTGTGGAATCTGTATTACAACATCCAATTCCTGAGGTAACTTTACCAATTTTATTGGTGAAAATAAATTATTGATAGATATATCTGTTTGTTTTTGCATTTGCATATAGACAGCAGAATCTAATTTGAGGTGATATTTTAGTTTATAAGTAGATGAACCAAGGGGTTTGTGATGGTGAAAACTACCATGTTGGTTTCACTTGTAGAGAGAAGTCAGAATCCATGATACCTCCAGAACATCTGTGTAGAGTTCTTCTGGACTTCGTTAGTGTAACTTAATGTAAAAGTCATTTTGATGGGAGTGTGTAGGAGCATCTGTATGGGCTAGATCTCAAGTAGAAAGACTTCTGTGAATGGAACATGGCTTACCCTTTCATTGCACATTCGTGGATTGTATAGTAGTGATTGCCTATCAAATAAATTAGTACCCTTGAATGTGTATTATTAACTGCTGAGTATTAAATGACTAGCACATTGTGACTGAAGAAAGAATTTGGAAATTTTGATAGTACATTGTAGGATTAAATGGGAGTTTTAGAAACATTCAGTTCAGATAAAATTAGAATTGCTGCTACCATTGGAAGTGAGTATCAACTTATAGTCATGTGGAACGTCTGGGTGCTAGATATTATCTGCCAGCATTAGGTTGTTACGAAGATCGACTCTGTTGTTGATCCGTTGACGAGTATTTGAGTAAATGATAAATTGTTGAGCATTCATGCAACTTTGATCTCAGGAAATTAAATTACCATCAGGAAAATATGTTTAATTTAGACAAGGACTACAGATATAGTAATATTGGCATTTCTTTGCGCTGAGATATATGACTTACCTTAAGCACAAAATTGGTTTAAGTTGATCAACTTATGGCTAGATGACCCTATTTCACCCTAAAGGTTGCATTATTAGGAAAATAAGTTGTTGCTTTACTGCTTTCTGTTCAATATTTATGGCCGAATCAAACTCATTCCTACACTAAACCTTAGTTCTTCTGTCTTTGTGAGGCAGTTCAAGGGAAGTACATGCTCGAAGTGATTCGAATCATGGTGAATAGATCATTATTGAAATATAAACTGTTCTTTCTGTTTTTCTTTGTCTTTTCTTCTTTATCAAGAAGTTGTATTGATTCTTCCATGCAAACAAGAATGCAAAACATATATATCCTACATCTAACTAGATTTCATAACAGGGTCGGGTGAGGCAGAAATTATCATCTAGGAGAAAATATGTATCTGTCAACATTGGTCCTGTTCGAGTTGTTTCTAGTGAACAGGTCTCTCTCTCTCTCTCTCTCTCTCTCTCTCTCTCTCTCTCTCTCTCTCTCTCTCTCTCGTACGCACACATGCACGCACGCACACAATTGCATCCACAGATGTGCGTACTCAAGCACGCACAAACAACCAGATGTAAGAATGATTCACTATACTTTGTTTTCCTCCTAAGGCATGAAAAATATAAAATAAAAATTACTTCAAAAAACAGTGGGGTTGTACTTTGATAGTACTTGTGCTGCTGTACAGGTTCAAGCCGTTTACAATGCCATGAGGAGAGATGATCGAATGAAATACTTTTTGTAATGTGATCCTCATTCTCGATTTATGTAGAATGGGATCATGTAAGGGGCCATGTGATTGCCCTTTTCTTCTTCCTGGGTTTCTTTTGAAAGGGATCATGTAGTCGAGATTATGTTCTTTGAAGTCACCATCATGGGCAAGAAATCATCATTGAAGTTAGTCTATTCTGTATTTGTGCCTTTGCTAAGTTGTGTCAATCTGTATTTAATGATGTATTATTTATTTGTCAGTCAGAAATTAGTCTGCAAATGGCACATTTCATTCATAATTAACCATCTTTTTATTGAAGCAAAAGTGAGGTGTTTTTTAGTTCTTCCAATTTCATGAATTCCTAAAAGCATTTCTCATCTTTTCTCAGCTCTATTCACTTTTCCATTTGACCCTTAAATTTTGCTCGAGTTTTCTTAGAAACCTTCTCCTTTAAAGGGTAGCCACTACATCCAAATTAAAATGCATTTTATAAGTTTACTAATCAGGGTGAGAAGTTGTATTTTTTATCACTCAGACACGTGGGCACTGAGAGACCTGGTTAGGTCTCAGCTATCAGTTTAAGGTCATTTACTAGTAAGTCAGATATCGTTGCCCCAAGGAGTTGAATCATCAAGACCATTTCCTTACAGACAATGTAGTTTCGACTTGGAAGTCACTTTGATGCAGAGGCATTTGTTGGTTGAAAAAAAAAAAAAGAAAAAAAAAAACTATTTGAGAATAAACCTAGCCTTCAACAAAGGTGAGTGGGAAGAGAATGCTACTTGGTAGCTAATGTTGGAAAATTTTGCCAAGGTGCTGTTTAATTTAAGATTCAGCTTGTTTCATGAAAATGGACTTTCAAAAAATATTCTTTGAAAAAAATAAAAAAATTTTATTATTTGAATAAGTCGATAAAAATATTCGACAAGGAAGAAGAGCCTTTGAACGAAGAAAAGCCTTTGGGACAAGAGAAAAGCTTTTGAATCCCAAAGAGCTGAAGCGCAGCCCCAAAGGGCTTTTCTCCTGTCCAGCTGATGTAAATGGGACTAGATATTCGATGCATTGGATCTCAGAGGCACACAGAAAGTCATGGCACGTCCTAATTGATGCAACAGTGTTGGTTTTCGGTGAGGAGCGGCTGGCGCTCGCCCTCCACCGCCCTGATTTTGTGTTATTTACGCTTGATAACACCCATGCTCAGCCATCCAAGATTACCTGCCTCCTTGTAAGGAAAAAGTCATTTGATACCAAACTCATGCTCAGCCTAGGTTCACATTTTCCTTTTTTTCGTAATTAAGATTATTAAAAATTGAATTTTAATAATTGATAACTGATAAGAAGATTATAGTCCATAAAAAAAAAAAAAAAAGGCTTTGTCTAACTTATTGAACAATTTTTTCCCTTTTGGTTGATTCTTTCGTCTTTCTTTATTTGTTCTTCTTCGTCCATCCATTCCTTTCTTTGCCTTTATTTATAAACATGGAATAACTTGTGAGAGGGAGTATTAAGGAGCCACTTGCTCTTTTACTCCGACAGTATCATCGGACAAACCAAAACCGGGACCCATTTTGAGTAAATCCATTTCTATTCATAATGATCTCATCTTTATTCTAACATGAAGAGAATCACTAGATTCATCCTTTCCTTTTAGATTATGCTGACTTTGATTTTGGTATTTCGATAGCTACCACCACTAAAAGTGAAATAAATGTAGAAGGCCATTGCTTTTGCACTATATATATATATATATATATATATATATATATATATATTCTTCTTAATTAATGAGATATTATCCTCCCCACCCATCACATGCACTTACCTTTCCTACATCTACATTTTATCTCTTGAATAATCATGGTATATAAATCCTTCTTTAATGCTGAACTGCCAAGTTACAGTGCCTTCTTATAAGATCCATTTAAAAGCATGGTGAGAAATCTTTCATTGTGCTGAAATTTACGTTTTATAATTGAATTTCTAACTTAATTGCATCACTGGAAGGATTCTTAACACACTCCCAAATGGAGTTATGGGACCCATAGTCAATCATAAATTTTAGCGCTTCTAAAAGCATCGTTTGTTTTATTTTGGTAAGAATGGTTCCAAGAATTGAGTATTTAACTCAACCAAAAAAAAAATAAAAATCCATCATTACAAACTCAATCATCGAGTTGAGACAAATTCACATAGGAGATGGGATTGTCTGCTAAAAGGTTCTAAGGTTCCTAATAATCAAGGAAAAGATAATTAAAAAGATGGTTGTTAATAAGATGTAAAGGAATTGAATATAAAAAAAAAATAAATATATATTCATGATTTATTTATTTATCTTTAGAATTATTTAAATTTGATTTTTATTCGATAAGAAAGTTATTTTATTGATTCGAGTTTGATTCATTTAAATAGAAGGATATTGGTGTTTAATTTATTTTTTGCTTAATTAAATTAAATAAACTTATTTTGTGAATATTAATTAAATAAATTCATGAATATATATAAACGAACATGTTCATAAAAAATAAATAAATTATAATCAAATAAATTTAAAATCAAACAAACTATAAACAAAAGGGATTGAACCACCATTTCCTTTAGGATATTCACAAACAACCTGCAAATTTTAAAATATAAGAAAATTTGAAGAAAAAATTTTCATTGAACACACCAAAATTTCTTATAAACACCTTCAAATTTTGAACAACAAGAAAATTTGAAGAAAATTTTTCACTGAATACTCCAAAATTTTTTCATGGACACTTTTTTTGTCTATAAAATTAATAAATTCACCAATAAATTTTTATATATATTATAAATAGACATAATTAGAAAAAAAATTATAGATCCGCAATTGTAAATGAATTGTGAAATAGGATTAAGGTAAAAGATAAAATTATGATTTTATTATTATTATTGAACAATAAATTAATAATAAAGAAACAGTAAATGGATCCTAAAAGAATAAGTTATAAACAAATTTGTTGGCAAACATAAACGAATCAAACAGGTTTATGTTCATGTTTGGTTTATTTAATAACTAAAAATAAAAATATTATTTAAAATTATTTGTTAAATTTAATAAATGAATCCAAATATATTTATAAATAGTTCATCAAATATTATATTTATTTACATCCTTAATTGTCAAAAGAAAAGAAATCAAATCAATAATTGGATTTATAGGTTTATAATCTTTTATCTATTGTAAAATTTTTGCGAGTACCATAGTTTCAATTTTGTAAAAATAGAAATGATTTAGAGATTTAATCTACTTAATTCATATAATTATCTTTAAAAATAATATCTAATAAATTTATAATTCAAAATTTATCACTTGCAATATTTTTTATCTTTAAATTGCAATCTTTCTTAAAAAAACTAAGAACGATTCCTCTCTAGATTTCATGTATCCAAAAGGCAGTGGAGAGTGATTCCTTCACATTAATTTTAGTATTTAAAAAAAGTATTCAAGTAAAAGACATGTTACTATTACTATTTGAATTTTTATGCTCTTTCTAATAAATTCCATCAATCAACTAGTAAAATTTTTTGCTTTTATCAATCTGTTAATAATCTAATACCACTAGTACTTATTTGAATTACTATTTGAAATGCTCATCCTCAAAGCGTGAATTGAAAGACAGATGAAACATGACTAACAAATGAACCATCCAATCCTATCAAAGGAATAAAAAAAGAAAAAGAAAAAAGGCAAATGATACATCCAACTGCAAGCCTTTTCCACAAAAATATTCGCAGAAATTCATGAGAAAACAACGTCATCCCTAACCCCAAGACTTTGCATCAATTTACAATAAAGTCTACAATAAAAACAACACCCAACAGTTGGCTCAATAAAAAAATAAGATTAACAACAAATTGTCATAAACCAGAGCAGGGTAGAGCAGGGTAGAGCTCCTTACTAAAAACCCTTGACAAGCACTGGTGTATTTTGTCTTTCTCTCTGTAATATCTGCTCTAGCACTAGCAGGAGCTTTGTCTTTGTCTAACCAAAAAAACAGCTCCACACAGCTGGTGCGTCATATTCACATGTTTTTTTTCTGCCTTGAGAAACCAGTTCATTTTTTTGTCCTTTTCCATCCGGACCATGATGCCTCTCATGAAGCAACTTACCTGCAACCAGTCCCTGTAAACGTCCGTCAATGGCTAATGCAATTTTGCAAGCAAAACACTGCAGCTATAGCCATCTCCATCAACTCAACCTCCAACACCTATCTCAATAAAAAATAATAATAATAAAACCCAACTTTTATTTTTCAAAAATATAGGTACAGCACTCAAACTCGAAACAAGAAAAACACTACCTGGGTAAAAATAAAAATTACCACTATTTTAAAGTATATAGTATCATTTATCATTGGCATTATCATGATATTCCATTTTTTTTTTACTTAGTAGTAGTAAAAAAAAAAATCTGAAAATAACAATACTAGAAAGTTAATTTTAAAAAAAAAATACTAGTAAACTGTAAAAGCAATGAACCGAAGGGGAGCATTTTAGCAAAACCGAGCACCGTCGTGGCTGCTCATGTCAGTAGCGGATGGAATTTCGAAATGCCAGAGTCTCCCAACGCTTTTCACCAAGTGTTTTCTACACAAAAACTCCTCGGCGAAAACCTTCTCCACCCTCCGATCAACATCGTGCAAGAACACGTGCGTCACACCGGATCCTTTCCTATTCCTCGCCATAACCGAGGCCGAGAATATCGCTGCCATCCTACCTGGCGCCTCCGCGAAATATCCACGCGGCGCATCGATCATTATCAAATCCCACTCCGTATCGTAAAACTCATCGGGAAACCCCGTCAAGGCAAGCTTGCACTTCTCGTTGCCACGTAAGTAAGCTTTCGACGGAAAACAGTTCGGTTCCGACCGGACATGGGAGAGCAGATCGACTGCTTCCTTGAGCTGCGTACGATACTTTACGGCGTGCGCATGGAGGCTTGGTGCGTCTTTGAGCACGGTCTGGACCCATTGGGGATCCTCTTCCAGGAATACGGTGCTGCCACTTGGATTGAGGGAAGCCCACATGAGAGAATCGTAGCCGAGTCCGAAGACGAGGAAGTTGCAAGGAGAGCGTTTCTTGAGGACGTCAAAGGTTACGGAGATCTCCTCAAAGTTCTGTTGCGGTACGATGTGTGACGTGGCGTAGTGGATGATGGCTTGGAGTTGGGTCGACGTGGTGGAGTATTCAGCTACGGCTTGGGATCTGGAGTTGGCGAGAGAGCACAGCAGGGAATTATCGGCGGTTTTTATGAAACTCGAGATAAGTATCGCTCCGGCAATAATTCCAGCAATAGCAATAGGGAAAAACCATCTCTTATCGGCGGAGAAATGCCGATTCTTAACAATCTCTTCTCTTTTCATTTTTTTTTTCACTAATTGATAATTTGAATAGTTTTTCTTTACTAAATGAGAAAAAAAATAAAAGGATTTCTTGGTTTTAAGGTCTGTCTTACTTTTGTCCTATAGAAGAATAGCCAGCGGATGGAAAGAAAACGCGTTCAGCTTTGAAAAGTAAGGAGTGAAAATTATTTTTTATTTTTTATTTTTTTCCTCCAATCTTGGACTAAAACATTTTCTCTTTCTCTTTTTTTTTTTAATAAAAAAATCTATATTTTTCATTTTAAAAACTACTTCTAATAAATAGTGTCTTCAGTCTTGAGGTGAATTTAAGACTCATTTGATAAAAAAACATATTTTTTTATTATTGCATTTCACTATTTTTTTATAGATAATTAATTGTGATATTTAATCTTATTATTATTATTATTATTATTATTATTATATGATGAAATTTTAATCTCATTATTATAATATTTAATTTTATTATTAAAATAATTAATATCACCATTAAACTATCTTTAATGAAATAATATATTTTCATATTTAATTTTATTATCATTGTTATTTTTACATTTGAATATAATGAGATTTTAATTTTATTATTATTATATTTAATTTTATATTAATAATAATTAACTATATAATTATTTTTATTATCATCAAAATCAATTAATTATCCATCAAAATGAACCTTAAAATTTGTATAAATAAGTTAACATGTACGGTTAGGCATCATCGACAGTTGGTCGGGCTTATTTTACACTTCGGGAAATTTATTTTTTTTTAATGTTGAACGTATTTAAGCGGTAACTGCTAATTTTTGAAAAGGTTATTCTCAAAGATAAAAAAAGTAGAATAGAAAAAAAGCTCTAACATGGTTCCTACGGAGTGGCATGCACGTTCTGGCAGAACATTTGCCTGATACTTTTTTGTATTTATGTCTTATTATGTCTCGCAACCAAGCCTTTTAGGGTTGGACGAAGATGCAGTCCGAACCACAGTTGTTGTTAAACATCATATTGAATAATTTATATTTTTTAAAATATAATTTATATTAGTATCAATTGTTTTGATGTATTATTTTAAATTTTTTAATTTAATACAAATATATTTATAAATATACATGAATTTATAAATTATAATATTATTAATAAGTCACAAGATAAATATATAATTATTCAAATCAAATAAATAAGTTTAAAAATATAAAAAATAATATCATAAATTTTTCATAATATTTTTAAACATTTAATATCATCATATGATATTTAAATGAATATTTTTTTATATAAATATTAAGATAAAATAAAAATATGAAAAAATTTAATCAAAGTTTATGATTGTTAAATTTTATAAAATGAGTATAATTGTTTTATTGCAAAATCTGAAATACTTATGAACTTTGATTTGAAAAAATAAATTATAAAATAATAAATTTTGGTTTTAAAAAATAATTTAAAACAAAAAATAAAGAAACTCAACTTTTAAGGATTATTTTATTAATTAATCTTATTTTTATTAGGTTAAAAATAGTTAAATAACCAAAAATAAATTAAAAATTATAAAATATATTTTTTATTTACGTATCAACCGAAACATGTTATTCCACCAAAATTCATTGAAACATGTCGAAACTAATAAAAACAACTAATATTACTCAGTATCAAATTCGGTATAAAAAATTATTTTTAAGTATGTCGTATTTTGATATAACTAAAGTATATTGGTCAATATAACCGGTATCAAAATAAAATTAACAACTATAGTCCAAACCTTGGTCTTTTATTTAATTTAATATTAAATCTATATTTAATGATTATTGTAGTATAAAATTTGTATATTGTGAATGAATTAATCTCATTTTATTAATGAAAAAAAATATACTTTTAAATTTTTTAAATTAAATAAATAAAATTTTAATTTTTAAAATTTTTTATTAATAAAATAACATCATATAAACTACTAATCATACATAAAATTTATGCATTAATATCTCAATATCTCATTTTGTTCTTCGTTAATAATAATAATAATTTTGAGTTTAATCAACTTAATTTATAATAATTAATTGATTCATTTATTTGTAGAAAATTTTGGGTAAATTTAAAATTCAATAAATTGAGTCTAAGTTTGGCATTGAAACGTTATTTATACTCAATTTAATCTTGATTTTCAAGCTTTTCCCTAATGTTTGAAAATTTTCATTTGATGACTAGAAAGGGTCAATACCTATCTTTATCTGTCCACTCAACATATTTCTTGGTGGATTTACTTTTGGTTGATGTAATAAGTAACTGCCAATAACGTACCAAAATAAATAAATAAAATAAGTAATGTACATTTAATTTTTTTAATATTATTTTAGGAGCTTTGAAAATCAAATTCTTTAAAGTTTTGTCGTAGACTTTTTCCGTAATTAATGGGAGTGGGTCCTTTAGACACTAAGAATCAAATCAAATTACTAAGTTTTTTGTAAGAGATGATTATATGACTTGACTTTAGAAATTTTACGAAAATTCCATATCAAGACTCGGCCAAGTCCAAAAGTGTTATGACTATCTTTCGTGGCAGGTACCAGACGATATTTGGCAACAAAACTAGAAAAACATACTAATACTTTTAGTCACGGATATCAAATTAGTTGGACAAGACTTACATATAAAATTTATGATTTTTTTTTTGTTAAAAATGGTTAAATCAAAAGTTTAAATTGATAGATTAAAAGATTTTGGTATATAAATAAAATATGTAAAAATTGAAAAAAAATAATGAAATTTGATATTTCTTATATATTTATTTTTTCTAAAAATATTAACAGATTGTTAAAAAATTATTAATCAAAATAGAATAATAAATAACATGTTCAATAATTTTTTTTACATATTATTAATTTTATCATCGAATTGTATTAATTTATCAATTTAAATTTTTTATTAAATTATTTTTAGTAAAAAACTTCATAAATTTTACCTAAAGACACTTCATCCAAGTATTATCTTGCATTAGTTTGCCTTAACTTATGCATCTAACTATTTATTGTTCTATTATTTCAAAGAAAAATTAAAATAAAAAAAAAAAAAAGAAAAAACTTTCTCTGGTTCTACCATTGATGATTGGTTTATTTTTGTATGGTAGCCTACTAATCTAACAATACAAAGCTTGAATCTTATAACCTTGTAATGTTTATGATTGTACTTGTTATAACAAGGGCCAAGGGCCCAAATAACCAAAGGCCCACAAGATCCCTTCTCAAGCAAGGATAAATCCTACGGTGGAAAATGAAACATTTCCCTACAAACAAAATGTTCTTCACTACTCCGATCTAATAATTTTAAATTATTTGGTCAAAAAACTTTTGTCTTAGGGCCATGTATCTTGGCCCACTCATCACCTCCTCGGACTCAGATCCACCCTTAAGTTTATTGGGCCAGCTGGGACCACTCATGTTTGGCTTTATTATTGAAGATGGACGGGCCGATGTCTTTTTATGATTCATAAATTCGTTGTCGAATTGAAGAGAAAATATCCTAACCGAAAACCAATCCCCTTCCTTTTGCGAAAGCCTATGGTCTTGTGTGTTCTTGCTTTAGCATACACGTACATAACAATAGAAGTAAGAAGAAAATGGTTCAAGGGGTTTCTTCAGGTGGCAAAAGCCACTTTACAAAAAGTCAATTTGAATATTTCCTTGTTGGATTCGGTTTAGGCTTGTAAACGCCCATTTTTATCCGATTTTAACTTAAATGTAATTTTATTTATTTTTATAGTATTATTATTGTTATTTTATAATTTATTTATTTATTTTTATCTCTTTTCTAGCATCGTTGCCCAAAAGTTTTTGTGCATTAAATGCATCTACCTTCAAGTCTAAATTTCAGGCCACTGCCAGCCGTATTATCAGTTACCGAAAACCACCCTAACAACCGGCCTAACCTTGAGCAAATTTTTAAACAAAAAATCTCAGATTTTTGGGATCCAATATCTTATTCGGCTCTATAAATAAAGCATCCCCACCAAAAGAAAAAATAAGAGAACCAAAAAAAAAGTTTCGTAAAAACAAAAAGGAAGAGTTGCTGTAAAAAAAAGTTTTTGTCAAAAAAAAGAGAGCATACAAAAACAAAACAAAAACCCAAATACACCAAAAAATAAAAAACAAAAAAATACAACCCCTAATAACGGAAATCTCAACACCAAAAACACCAAAAAATACAAAACAAAAAAAATCAAAAATCATTTTGGTTAAAACTTTGGGCATTAATCCATGTTGTTTAAAGTCATTTCTTGCAAAACAAAAGTTGGATTTGAGTTCAAAGATGAAAGAAATTTTTAAGGAAATTTTGAGATTTTTTTTATCATTGGCGATGGTGGTCAGTGATTGATGACAATGGCTAGCACAATGTTGACGGTCAACATTTGGATTTTTTTTATTTTTTGACGGGATATCTTATTTTAAAAAGAGAGAAGGAAAAATGAAATAAAAAATTTTTATGCTTTTTATAATGCTAAAAGAAAAATGCATCGATTGAGGCAAAAAATATCTGCACTTTGACCTTGATCCAACTTAAGGTCCACACACCTAACTTATGTTGTTGCTGACTTTGATCAATTCATTCGAATCACTTGTTGGACTGATTAAACTGGTGTTGGACGGTTGACCAACCATTTTTATTTTTTTATGTTTTTCATTTATTTTTTTAATTTTTGCTTTTACTTTTATTTATGTTTTATATATTATTTAAATAATATGCATGTTTAAATTTTAAATTTATTGAAGTATAAAATATTTATAAAATTAAAATTTATTTACATAATTTTACTCTAAAATTTAACAAATTTTAAGAAAATTAAAAAATATAATAAAAGGAATAAATAAAATAAAACTAAATATATTTTTTAAAAATAATAAATAATAAATAATAACAATAAATTTTCAAACAATTGCAAACATGCAGCTTATAAAAGATTTTTTAAATTATATTAAAATGATGGTAAATTTAAAAGAAAATTTCTAGAAAACATTTATTTTGAAACAAAAGAAATAATAAAATAATAAAACAAGTAATAAAATTAAATAAAAAATAAGATAAATCTAACAATAAAAATATAAAAAATTAAGAACGAATAAATTTTCACAAAAGATTATTTCTGAATTTTTCCCAGAATAATGACAATTAAAAAAAACAAAAATAAAAAATAAAATAAAAACAACAAATATCACAAAAAAAGTAATAATAAAACAAAATTTAAATTAGGGGAATAATGAAAATTATCTAAATCATAGAATTACAAGAAATCACGAAGTGATTTTTGAGGTCCTTATATGTGAAAATTTATCCAAAATTTATTAGAATGTTGAAAATTTTGAAAAAAAATTTTACACCAATGATTTACATTTATTCCTAAGTAAAATAATAATAATGATAATAATAAATGTTATAAAATTTTGATAAATCAAAATAAATAAGAACGATGTAGGATTCTAATAATAAATGATTTACATTTTAATCATTTTTTAAAATAATAAAAAAAAAAAACTTCATGAAAATCTAAAGATTGCTAACAGTGATCCTTAGAAGAAAATTTTTTAAAAAATAAAATATTTCTAAATTTTACCAAAATAATGAAAATTTTAAAATAAAAAATAATTAATAAAATTATAAAAAGCTTTGAAATAAAATTATAAAATTTTATCAATCTAATAGTGGAACCTTTTCAAATAAACGAACGGGTTTCTTAAACACTCTTAAAATGAAAAAAAAAAATATAAAGATTTTATCAAAATGATAAAAAAAAAAATCTTACAAAATTTTTTTATATTTAAATAATTAAATTTAATTTAAAAAATAAAACAAAACAAAATACCATTTAATTAAAAGATCAATTTAGTGCAATACAAAGTTATTTGATACCGTCTTCAAATGGATGCTGTGAAAATGTTAATCATTCACCGTACATAACCATACTTTCAAATTTAACTTTGTAACGTAGACCAAAAACTTATAATTTTTACAAAGTCTTAACTAAACTTAAAATTTCTTTAAAAAAGATGATTTTAACTCAAATCTCAACAAAAAATATTAATGACAATTCTTTATATTTAACATCTAGCAATCGAGTTTTTAAATTGATACGATATGACAAAACTTATAAAATCATAAACCTACCACATCAAAATACACTGCACTCAATGTTGTAATAAACCTTAAATTAATTGAACCACATTTAAGCTTTACTTAATAGAAACATAAAATTTTATAATTTATTTTTTTTATTTTATATCTTAATCATTACATCAACAAATTTTTTACTCTTATCTCTTTCTATCAAACAAAATCAGTAATTCATTTTTAAGATTGAAGTTGGTTAGATTATTTAGATTTTAATTGATGGCTTTATAATTTATTGTTTTCAAATTTTTTAAAAAATAAAAAATAATAAAAATGACCATAAAAAGAATGATTTTCATCAAAAATTTATAACTTAGGGCTCTACTTGCAAGATACATTGTTTGCTTACTTTACCATAATACTAATATCTAATAACCTTTGCACATCACCATCAAATTTGGGGGGAAACGGCAGCTTTACAGCTAAGCTCTTTTTTTTTTGGGTTAAAAACTTGAACCTAGTTTGATAGTACTCATATATATCACAAATTCACAATTCTGGTTGTAAATTGCGGTAGAGAAGTTGAGATTGGAAATTTTTGTCTTAAAAATTGCATTGAAACTATCTTATGATTGTACAATTTAATAAATGTTTGGTGTTAATGCCATACAAGGTAAAGCATAATTACAGCCGATAAAATATCCAAAAATAACGTAGCAATAATTAAAGAGGTTTTGCAGGCAACCTTTTAGATTAGTTAATATTTTATTTATAGTAATAAAGTAAGCACTTTTTTAATATTAGCATCTTTAACGAGTGCTTTAAGGTACTTTTTAAGATTAGTTAATGTTTTATTTATAGTACAGTATAGTCATTCAGGGCATCTTAGAAAAATTCTATTCTGGCTTGGGAATTAATCGCTCGAAAAGTGAAATTTATTGTTTTGGTATTTCTGATGATGATTTATGCTTTATTCAATCCATCAAATTTTGATATGATTTAAACAAAAAATTAAAATTTGTTAAATGAATTTTGATACAATTTTAAATCAGTTTAAATTTCAAGTTGAATTTTGAATAAAAGATGAAAGTTTAAATTCGATTTGATTTGATATAAAATTTTAAAATAAAAATTATATATATTTTTTTAAAACTTATTTTTTATTTTTTAATTTTTTTATATATGTGAATTCGATATAATTTTATTAAATTTAATTTAATCATATTTTTTAAATTTTTATTATATAAATTAAATCTAATGAGTAAATTTAAATTTTTTTTTTTTTAATTTGAATCGAGTTTAAAAAAATTTAAAGTTGCATCGTACCAAATTGAATTTGAATAAACATAAAATCATTAATATTACACATAAATCCAACTCAAATACACATCGAATCAACCCATGAACACCTCTAATAAGGAATCTTCAAGTTCATACACCATCTGAATGGCAGGACGGTATGGTTAAACTCTACTACTAATTATTGCACCGCTAGCACTTGGAATGAAATTAGAAACAAGCAGGAGAAAGTCGACTGGCACAGAGTCACGTGGTTTAACTGTCATATCCCTATACATTCGCATGCAATGGCTTGATAAACTTCCACTAAACAAAGGTTAATAGGATTTTTTTTTCCCATCTGCTTGCTTTGTAATCAGGAAGTTGAATTTAGGGATCGTCTATTCTTCATATGTATGTTCACTAAACCAATATGGTTGGAAGTGCTTCAGCTTTGTGGGATTCAAAGGCCAGTGCACGACTGGCAAAATAAATTCAACTGGATCAAAACTGATTTCAAAGGTAAATCTCTCCTGCCTGTTATCCTTAAAACAGCTTGGAATGCGTTTATCAATATGCTACTTTGTCATAATGGTTGCCGAAAGAAAGAAACAAGAGATTTTTCTGTCAACATAATAGTTGTAGTAGCTCCATTTTGCGGTTTGTGAGGGATGCAGTACGATATAGGCTACATGGTACTCACCATTCATCTGCCAATTCTATCAATATGCTACTCTGTCATAATTGGGATCTTGATGAAACATTATTAGGTTTATTCTTTTGTGTCCTTCTCTAACTCATTGTTATTCTTTTTAAATTTCTTGTGTAAACTCTGTTATTTTTTTTGGATGAATAAATTTTAATTTATCAAAAATTTTTTTGTTTTATTTATATTAATAAAATGAAGATACAAAATTAAAATTTTAATTTAATTAATTATTGTGATTACTCTTAAAAAATAACATCCAACATATTTAAATTCAAATCTTAGCACATACAATTATTTTTTTATCTATAAAATAAAAATAATTGTTTAGCTTGTTTCCAATGGAAATGGTGGAAATTGAGGATGGCATGGACCAAGCAATGCCTCAAATCCAGCTTAATTTAATAGGATCCATCCGACAATCATCTCCATCGTATCGATAGTGTTGATGCGATTGATTATTAATGGTGTTAGGCAGCTCGGCTATACCAAACAAAACTAAAACAAAAACAAGGGAAAAGGAATTATTGGTAATGTAATATGTATATATCGATGGTTGGTTGTTACATTTTCTTTTAGAAAATAATAGTAGTACCAATAAATGGAAGATATTTTATTTTGACTTGATGAACTGATAGGATGTAGCTTTTAGGGATGTAAATAATATTAATATTCATAAATTATTTAAATTAAATTTAAATTAAATTTAAATTTAAATTTAAATTTAAATTAATTATTATTGAATAAAATTAAAATAATTTAATTTATTAAACAAATCAAAGTTATTTATTTTAATATCTAATTTAAATAATTTAAATTTGAGAATTTAAATAGCGGGATCTGCGTATCAATGTGAATTGGATATGTTGACCGCTGAGGCGGCATATATGGCGGTGGCTTTGGATATGGTTTGAAAATTAGGAGATCATGCTGAGCTGCAAATGCAGGATTTGGAGAAAGAAGATCAAATTGACACATTCCATTAGATTCCATGGGTTTCAGAAATTGTTGGAAATCCTGTATACATCTTCTATACGTTCATTAAAATCCCTTAAAAGCTACAACTACAAATTAAAAATTCGAAGGTGTCTTACAGTCAGAGAGCTAGAGAGAGTTGAGATGGCTGACAATCGTGCACGTAGTTTTGACTCATGAAAAAAATATTGAATTTTTAATTTTAATAATTAAAATTTAATTTTCGATAATTTTAAGCATGTGGGATGAGATATAGTTCGGCAATTATAGTGCTCTCTCCCTTGTTATTTTCAAAAAAAAAAAAGAAAGGGTAACTTAAAATGGATAATTATTCTAGCCAATTTATATAATTGTCTACATGATCATTCATTAATGTGATTTTAAACGTGAGGGAGAGGGATTGCATGATTCGTGTAAAAAAATCTTAATTTTTATAAATATATTTTCAAGTCACCCTCATAAACTCTTTTTCTCCTTAAATATATAAATTTATTATTGTTTATTTTTAAACATTTTATGTCTGAATGCACAGTTTATTGTATAAACAATTTTCAATCTGAATCAGACTGCAGAGATATTTTCTGATTCATTGTTCAATGAGTAACAATTGCTTAATCATAGAGGAAACGCTGGCCGTGCACCGGAACATCCCTTTTTTTTTTTTTCCTTCTAATTAATGTTCAACTTCTGACATGTGGACTGTTTAAAGATACGTGGTTGGCCTTGCAGCTCGGCCTCATTTAAAGTGACAACTTACACCTACTTTACGGCTGCCCAACAACTCTAATGGGCCTCCATTTATATCTTTAGCTTAAATTTTCTAAACATCACTACCGTTGATTTTCATATTAGGGGACAACAATTGCCCAGATCAACGGTCCATATGGTATCCTCAAAATCTTCACCCTCTTCATTAATATAAATTATAAAGCCTTGGATCAGTTTTCATACTTGTTCATCTATAAAGCAGAAAGGACATTTTGAGTTTCAAACTGAAAAATCTCAACTCAAAAAGAAAGAAAAGCTGCGAAGAAAAATGAGAAAGGAAGAGAGGGAAGTAGGGAGTTTTGTTGTTTTGGGCTTGTGGGTGAGCAGTTTGTTGCTTTGCGGTTCTTTGGGTGTGGTTGAGGCTGATGACAGTGGTTTGGCAAATGAATGCACCAATGATTTTCAGAGCGTGATGACTTGCCTGAGCTTTGCGCAAGGGAAGGTGGCGACGCCGACTAAGGAGTGTTGCAGCTCGGTGTCGAGTGTAAAGGAAAATGACCCTAAGTGTTTGTGCTATATTCTTCATCAAACTCAGACGTCTGGGGCTCAGAACCTTAAGAGCTTGGGGGTTCAGGAAACTAAGCTTCTTCAGCTTCCTTCTGCTTGCCAGTTAAAGAACGCTAGCATCAGTGACTGCCCAAGTAAGCTCTTTTTTCCATTTCTTTCGTTGCTTTGAAATATATGCATGCTTTCTGGATATGTTAAACCAGGAAACTAATGACGGCTAAGCCTTTGATTGGTTTACATCTGATAGTAATATGTTGTTTAAGCACTACGATCAATGCAAAGAACATAGATTTTGGGCTTTGGGGCATGCAGATTAAAAACCAATACTCTATGACCCCTTGCCAGTTTAAGGTTGATCAGTTTTAATTAAGTTCTTCTAGGTTCTAACACACACACACACACACATATATATATATAGTTGAGGAAGCAGTAAAACTGTAGTGGTTTCTACATCTTGTGATCAGGTAGAGCTACTGGCAGCCAAAACAGCTGGTCCTCAAATGAATAAATTAATTAATATATTGTATTGTTTTCGTTTTGAATGAACAGAGCTTCTTGGATTAGCTCCAAACTCACCAGAAGCAGCCATCTTCAGCAATTCCTCCACCTCAACAGCAACCACCGGAACACCCTCATCTGCTTCAGAGAAAAGTGATAGTAAATCCAGTGGAACCAAGCTTGAAATTTCCCACCTCGTTGGTTCCACGCTACTGATTGCAATGGCCATAGTTTTCTATGCACTTCCAGCTGGATTGGTTTCTCTGTTTTAGGCGTGCATGATATCGATGGAAGTGAATTAAAAAGGCTTTTAATTTCCTTTTGTTTGTTTAATTCTTCCCAACTGCATTGCTGTTTAAGAATCTTAAATGAATCATCCAAAGTAAAGCTATATTTCTTTGCCTCTTTCTGTTTTTGGCACCAAATGGAAGCCAAGAAATTAAAAGAGTGAAATGATAGAAGAAGCGTTAAAATAAACGTTAGGAAACTTTACCCACTGCTTGTTTTCCTTTTGATCATCCTCTGCTGTGAAATCTTTGATGGTTGTCGGTAGTGAGATTTTTTCATACTGAAAATGAAATTGACACAAAGAGACAAATGAGTAGCTCCAAGAAAAAGCAATCCTTAAGTCTAATTGGAAGTTCCTCGGATGCTAGGTGTAGGGACCCCGAGAGGTTCCGGCTCGACCCAACCCTACGGATCAGTTTTTTTTTTTTTAAATTCGAGTGGATCGAATCGAATAAAGTTAGGAAATAATCGAGTTTGAGTTTGTCTAAAATTCGATTCGATCGATATTATATAAAAAAATTATTTTTTAATTAATTATTTAATTTTTTATTTATATATATTTATATAATAATATTTTTAAATATTTATATTTAAAAAATAATATTTTATTAATTTCATATCAAATACGGGTTACATAATATCGATATTAGATTGAATTTAAATATAAAAAAATAAAAAAAATTTCATGTTGGATCGGGTTTAGGGCAAGCAAAACCCACCTTGAAACCAATCCAACGCCACCCTAACCTAGGTGCACTCATTTTTTATTTTAAGAACTAAAGTAAAAAAATAATAAAATTTTGTGCTCACTTTTTATTCTAGGGACTTAAGTGAAACAAGTTAAAATTTTTATAAGTGATATTATAATTTTGAAAATTTATATATTATGTAAGTATGTGAAATGAATTTATTTGATGAGTATAAATAATTTTTCCTTGATATAAAATCATAAAGGGAGAAAAATAATGATTAAATGAAAAAAAAATCACAAAGATAATCACTGGTTCTATTTATGCTAAATTATTATTACAAGTTATATTATGTAAGATTGAAAGAGATTGCTCGATAGATAAAGATTGATTAAATTGATAACGCTAATTTATAAATTTTGGATTTAATTTTCAATGTTGATAATCTCTTTGACGAATGATTTTTAAATTTAATATAAATTTTCGAGACCCATTGAATGCATTGATCCTGAAAGGAAGAAATCTTCCTAGATCTAAACTTTTAAAACTATTTGAGAGATGCTAGTCAAGGACATGAAAGAAATTATTTGAATTGTTAAAGATATTTGTGACATTAAATCCAAAATTTAGTTAAATTAATACATATAATCACTTTTAAAAGATTATATTTAACAAAGTTAAAATTTAAATATTTATTCTTATAATTTCTTTCCCGTGTCCTCCGGATATATAACCACAAATTGTCTTGAAATGTCACAAATAGTTATATATATATATATATATATATATATATATATAAATATATATATATAAAAGTATTTGTGACATTTCAAGACAATTTGTGGTTATCAGATTATTTGTTGTAAATTACAGTACTGAAAGACTACTTGCAGCAGTCCCCTTCGGTCTATTAAATGAGACGAGAAAGTGGATTCCCATCTTTTCATAGAAGTTCGGCATTTCTTGTTAGTAATCTCTTCCTTTATTTTTACACCGTTTAACGGAATATTTCACCAGTACACCGGTAACATACAAGTTAAGTTGTCTCGTCGGCTTTAATGAATTTTCTCATCATAGCTGTTAAAAACAAAGTCAAATCGGCGTGTTGATGTATTTGATATATAAAATTAAGATAAATTAAAATAATATTATAAATTAAATTAAATTAAATATTATTATTTTGTTTTATATTTGATATATTTCAAAATTAAGATAAAATAATTTATTTATTAATTAAAATTATTTTTTAAAAATTTTTATAATTTAAATTATTAATATAATTTTTAAGTGAATAATAAGATATATAAATTCAATCTCACGGATTAAAAATAATTATCTTCAAAATTAAATAATCATATATTAAACAAATGATTAATTCTCCTTCTAATCTTTTTTTTTTAAATACAAATCAAACATAATATAAAATTATTATTTTATCTATCATCGTATGCACCAAACATAACTTAAATATATAAAATTATAATAAAATGATATAATATTATGAATAAATTTAAATTAAATAATATAATTTTATTATGTATAAAAATTAAAATAAAATAATTTTATTATTAGTTAAAATTATTTTTTTAAAAATTTATGTAATTTAAATTATTAATATCATTTTTAAGAATATAATAAAATATGTAAATTCAATTGTATAAATTAAAAATATTTTTTTCATTTTAGAGGATTGAACCATTTTATATTAAAGAAAAACTAAATCTCCTTTTAATTCTATCATTCTCTTTAGATACAAGCCAAACATGATATAAAATATTATCTTATTCTATCCATCATCCTACATTAAACATGAAAAAAAAAAAAAATTTAACAATGATCTTTAAAAAGAAAAATCAGCTGAGGTATATATATTGTATATACATATGAACCAAGTCTATCTATATATCTAAAACAAATTCAATCCATAAACCGAGTTTAACCCAAACTGGGAGCCTCCTCACTACTTGTGGGACACCAAACTAAACAAATAAACAAATAAACAAATAAACAAATAAAGAAGGTAGCGTTGGATTTAAATTCACATTTCCAAATGCATAAACTATAACTCCCTACCGATAATGCTGGTTTCACTCTTGGCCGAATTTGCTGTTGCAGTTATCTACCAAGGCCTTCACAGGCAGTGGAGAGCACCTTTCCAGTTGCTCCACCTGCTTTCTCATTCTCCTTTAACAAAAGAGCTTCAGCAAAGCTCTTAGACATTTTCTTTACGAAATCATTAGGAAGTGACGCGAGGTTCGGCGATTCACGAACTAAATCATCAGGAGAAGCCACAGGGGTAGCAAGCTGTCTGGCCTTCCTTTCCTGCATTGCTTTCTGCCGCTCTTCATAGAAGTAAAAATCATCTAGGATAGATGAATGACTTTCATAATTTCTAAAAATGTTCAACATCTCAATACCCTGTTCCAGTTCCACCTGCAACATTGTTTGACGCAGTGTAAGACACCATAAAAAGGAGTCGTTGCAATGAAAGATGAGAAAGATTATACCTTACTTGAAGTAAGTAGTCAGACAAAGTAATTATAATGGTGCGAAAACTGGATTCATAGGAAGGACAGATCATCATGTCTTACGTTGTGCCTTGGAGTTTATCCAGTTATACATCTTACATTTAGACAAAAAACATAAATACACCACAGCTACAACTTGATAAGAAGAAAAAATTAGCGAGGGTGGAAATGTAGACAAGTTTGATGTTGGCTTTGTCAAATCTAATTCAATTCTAGACCAACATAATCACATCAGAAGATCAAGTTACCACAAATTGAGGCCATAATGGCACTAATTTGAATGTAACCGGAAACGCCAAGAATCATATAGCACTCAAAGGTGGCTATAAAGTGTCAATCCCAAATGAATCCTTACCTCTTGAGTGTCTCTACTGTTAGTAACCGGCTTATTGTCATTACTTTCAAGTATAATGTGGCGGAACTGACTGTTGGGGACATCTTTAATAATGTGCCACTTTACTGGGAATTGGCCAGACCACTTATTCTGAAGCCAATAATCCACGCTTTTATCAAAGTCAACAGGTCCCACCATCTCAGCCACTCCACAAAACTGAGCACTAGCATTCACCTGCATGCATAACATATAAGAAGCAACTAAATTGATTTCATATCCTCATTCATGGTCTTTACGTACAAATGAACCAGAAGGAAAGCACATGGATTATGTGGTAAGGATTTCCAACTAATATTTACAATGCATCACCACTTCACAGTCCTTGTTCATCATAATGCATTATCAATTAATGATATTCTATCAATAATTTTAGTAGGTTAAATTAGATGACCGTGCATCATTTTTTGTGTTTCTTGTAATCCAAGCAACGCCTAGAATGTAACATAAGGTGGATTACCGAAAATAAGAGAAAGACAGGGAATATCCCTTGTTTAGCTTTTGCCTCATGATAAGCAGTATCCAATTTTTTGTTGCCGATTGGGGTGCTTGCCCAGACACCATACTTTATGCTTTTGTGAACATTATCTTCACTATAAGATTTGATCACGAAGAACTTTGCACCATCATAATCAGTGACAAAATTTTGTCGGTTGTATGATCGTTTGGTAGTTGTCTGACTTTTAGGCTTAAATGCCCTAGGTCCCCTGTTACGCTCACTTAGTGTGTCAAGTGTTACGGTACAACTGCAGGAGAAGTCATTACAGCTCCCTCCTTGTCTTGCTTCATCAAGTGTAGGCCAGTTATGACCGTTTATTCCTAAACTAGAAGTGCAGACACTACCATGACCAGAACTTTGATCACTTTGGCTACCAGTGTAGCCTCTAGAGCTGGAACCAGAACAAGAACCAAACCCATTAAATGATCCTTTCTGAAAAGAAGCCTGCATAAGATTTAACTGTTAGGTAATAGACTATAATCAATCACTTGGCAGTATCTATTTCAAACAATTGAATGTATTATTGAATTGGAAACTAATCAGAAGCATCTCAGGATTGGAACCTAACGATGAAATGAGGATGTAAATGAAAATCACAACCTCACCATTATTGCACAAAAATTATAGTTATGAGATGACGTGCAGGGCTTAGCAAATTAGCAACTATTTGAGCTACAATTCCAAGAGGCGCTCACATAAAAGCTTCAATCTTTTGAGCTTAAAAAAAAAAAAAAGCTTAAAGCAGATGCTGCTCAGCAGAAAAGATGCATAATGTATGCCTTACACATGTTGATCCATAGAAAGTTTTTAAGTAATTCTGGAGAAGCTTGTAGAATTGTACCTAATTGTTGTTTCAATTAGAGGAGTAAAGAAGTCAAATCTACTCACAGACCACTAATACTCACCTTGTTCATGGTTGATCTGGAGTAGCTGAGAGATATATGTTCAAGTATTTTAGTATATGCGTAAAGAACTGCTTTCCATGAATTTCACAAAGTTCTCTAATAAAAGCATAACATGTGCTTGAATTATCAAACAATTTTAGGATTGCCGTTATCGTTGACTAAGCAATTTAAACACAGCATGTTTATCCATGAGCCCTAAACCTCATGCTATCACTTGATATAAGTTTTTTCATTTCCTTTTCATGGAAAGCAAATGATGAAAAGCTTAATTTAGATTTTTAAGGCCAAAATGAAAAGCAGAATTTATTTTTTTAAGGCCACAATGAAAAGCTGATATAATTCAAGAATCTGAATTTAAAAACCTTAGAAAAAATCCCTTTAATTTAAAAAAAAAAAACAATTGCAATGTATTCCCTATGCTTCTATTCTCAATTCGATGGGACTAATCAGATTAAAACATTGCACTTATGGATAGACTACTTCCCTCTGCTGAACTGGCATCTAGCAGGATTTGCTTTTCCTTTTTAGGGCCTTGGTTATGGATCCTACCATGATGATATAGCAACTAACTAGCTATGTTAAAAGGAGGAAAAAGACCCCAAGAGTGGCCAAAACAAAATAGGACCAATAAAACTAAAGACCAAAGAGGAAAAAAGATCTTTCTCCTACACCACCATCATTGCCTCCTGGCTTTCTCCAATCCCTCTCCAGCCATGCCACAACTCACTTCTCTCCCTCTCAACAGGTCAAGGCAGAGCCAGCTGCTACCAAAGGCTTATAATTACAAGAACTGCATAAACTAAAACTGACAGTAGTTTACTAAAAAAACTCAATGGGGAACAGAAAACGTCCTGCCTATATAATTTCACAATTGTTAAGAAGTATGAAACAACTTATTGCAAGAAAATGAAAGAGAATGCAAAATCAAATAACAGGGGTTGTGTGGTAATGCTAGAGGGTGAAAGAGAGAAAAGGAGGGGACAACGTGGTGATAATGATGGCTAGAGCAAAGATAGTTTAAGGTGGGGACTGGTGCCCTTCTTTGAGAGAAGAGAGTACTGTGTCCCTTCAAATTTGACTTTGATCTTTACCCTTTTTTTAGTTGTAACTGCTCGCCAGTTCTAGGATTCAAGCTCAGATTTGTTTTCTTTTTTTGATCCCCCTAAAACTTGGTTGCTACACAGCCTACAACATCATTAATATAAGAAACGCTTTCTCTATACAGGTGATAATTAAACCAACTTAATAGTTGATTTAATAATACCAAGATGAAATTACAATGACCTGTTTAAACCACCACCACCACCCCCCCCCCCCCAAAAAAAAGGGCAAATACAACAATAACAAATTTAGAGAAGCTCAATTAGACAATTCGGTATTAATTGAAACCATTCCTGGCTTCATCCCGACACCAATCATGATATAGCTTTTGCTTATGGCAGAAATGTATACTTGCTAGAAAATATGGAATTTATGTTCCAAAATTTGCAATGGCCATCTAAAATCTCTAAATAATGTTAGCTTCCAACCACCTTAAAATATGTGATAAGTAAAGAACTAACCATTCCATGGTCGTTTGAAGGAAACTCTAATGAACCAACTTGTTTTGGAGAAGCTGCTGGGTACGACACATGAAACAAAGAACTCTTCCCCCTAAAAGGCTTTGACCAGTCTGAGCAGACTCCACCAGCCCCAAAGCCATCAAACCATTGGTATGAGGAGCAAAGATTGCTAGAGCTTCCAAAGTTGATTCCTCCACCATATGATCCTGATTGAGGAAGGTAATTCGGTCTCATCCCAAATCTCTTTCCAACCAATTGTTGCTCGATATTTAGAGGAAACTCTAAATGAGAAAATTGGGCCTTTGAAGTAAAATGTGGAACATTTCGGGTAACTGATGACTGGTGATAAGATGAATCTGAGGTAGGGAAATGCCTTGCATTAGGTAACTGGTTAGGATCTGCAACAGCAGGCAGATGAGAAGAAGCAGGAGTATAAGGTCTTTGTGGCATTTGTGGGCTATTCCTAAAACCATGAAATCCAAGAGATGCAGTTTCATTGTAGATGCCCTGGGTAAGGTGAAGAAAAAGTTATGCCTTTTTAGACATACTGATAGAAAGAAAGAATATAAAATATAGTAATAATAGTTACTGAAATGGAAAAGAAGGTAGGTTTACACACATGAAAGCCATTTTCCAAGCCCTCAGCATTAACATATGGAAGCAATGAACCCTGTTTATGAGCTGCAGTCCACAAGCAGAGCAACAACTCCATGAATAATAAGTAAGAAAGTGTATTATGTGCCAGAGAAAAATTATTCTGCCATGCTAACTAGCTATCTGAGCAACCTTAGTCCATAAAATTGCATGACATGCCTCACATCCAATTCAGAGTCACCCTCAGTGGAATCTTTAAAAAAGCCATTTGTGTTCTTGTTTCTTAAAACAAAAGCCATTTTACATTCTAAATACTAACAAAAAATATCAACCTCAAACAATAAAAAAAAAAATTGCAACCATCAACACATTCTGGAAGTAACCCGCAAGTCCACCACAGACTTGAAGAAAATTAGATGAAAATTCTACTCAATCATAGGCCGACATGGAAAAATTCTACAGATTCAAAGATGGGTTAATGATACTACTATGGCATCATAAAGTAGTTATAACCAGTTCTTTTTCATACGGTAGTGTAGATTTTATCTTCAAAGAGCAACACCAGGTCTCCCACATCAAATAGATTAGACAAGTCATATAATGAATCTATTTTGATTTCAGTTGACCCAAAAGTCCCAAATATATACAAGAAGAATTGCTTACCGCAAAATAAATTACCCTTGTAATCAGCACAAGCATGAATATCTCTTTCCTAGGAAATATCCAAGCTATAAACCTCATATTGATAAATCTTTAATCTTAGGTTTCTACATATATATTAACATACACGAAAATCAAAAACTAGGTTTACATAATCAATATAAAGTTTTTACGACAAATGTAGAAAAACTAACCTTCATGATGGAACTGTGCCTCGGAAGAATAGGCATTGGACAAATAGGTTGTCTTAGAGCCAACCACAGATGGCATGAACCCTGAAAGATGTGAACCATCCCTCAAGGAACCAACAGTAACCAAATCCTGCATAAAAAAATTAAATAATCAGACCCTCAATTATGATCAAAGGTACCAACATCAGTCAGCAGATTAAAAATTGCAATATCTAACCAAATCAAGGCAACCAACAAACTGAAGCGGCGCATGCAACAATATACCTTATCAGTCAAGGTGTTAGGATTAGCAAGGCTATTGTCGCTATCCAGAACCAGAACGTCCGATACCTCTGCCGAGTCTAGAATTTCCAAAACATTATCAAAATCTTTAATCAATCAAACAAATATTGAACAAATAATGTGTGCATAAAGCAAACAAGTGCGCCAAACATTGAAACATAAACACATAGGAATGGATCAAACTGTAAAACAAACATATAATATTTGTTGCCAAACATCAATTATGTCCATGATCATCTTCAATAAAATCCTTCACAAACGGCAAAACAATCTCACAATAGAGTCTACATTTCTCATTAGGTAATCCCTTAAATTCAAACAAGAACAAAGAAAATTTAAAATAAATAAATAAACAAAAGCCATAATTCTAGGAGCAACATTGAAAATGAACAGCCTAAAATGAAGACATTCTTTTCCTTTCTTCGTTTACGGAGATTATGATTCAATGGCGACGTACCAGCAGAGGTTAAGCGATCAGAACTTTGGTGCGCCATTGTCACAAAGTTTTTGGTTGTAAATCGAAAGTGGGGTATAATATCTATAGGAAATTAAAAAAAAAGTGTTTTTTTTTTCTGTTTGGGGTTTTGTTTGCTGCAGTGCTGTTGTGTTATGAAGAAGAAAGAAGGGGAGGCATTGGTAGTGACGAAAGGAGAGGAAAGGAAAGGGAAGGGCAGGGAAACGAAGGAAATATCCGAGCGTAAAAGAAGAGTTGGCAAAACGCCACTTGTCCACCTGCTCCCCCCTACCCAAGCAGTTTTTCGCTTACGTCACTCTACGTTACTTAAATTTAATATAATAATAACAATTTGGGATATGAAGCATAAGAAAACAAAATATTTGTTAATTTCTTGCAATATAAGAGTTTTAATTTAAGAGGCTATAGATATTGTCAGAAAATTTTAATATTACTAATAAAAATTATCAAAAGTTTAAGTTGTTCGATTTTTTAAGTCAAAATAAAATATTTTGATAATTATAGATTATATATTTAAGATGATTTAATAAATAATTATATGTAAAACTTAAACTTAATACTTTTTCATCAAATAAGATGAGTCTTAATCAATTGAATTAATCACTTGTTGATATGTCATATATTTTTAAAATAACATAAGGTTAAATCTTTAATTCTAATGATTATATTTAATTGATATTGACATATTCAAATATTATAAATAAAATGTATTTTTTAAATAATTAACTAAATATATTAATTATTTAATAATATTATTTATTTTTATATTATTTAACTCATTAAGTTGAATTTCTTTCAATTATTTTATACTTTGGAATGAAAAGGTAGAATAAAAATTAATTTATAGTTAATGAAAGTTAATTGAGTTAGTAAATATAAAATATTTCACTGTTGTTATAATTTATTAGTACGTGATTTATAAATTTAATATAAATATTATATAAAAAGGTGAATTATTAATGATGACATATTTAGTTATTTTAATCTTTACAATTTTTGGAGGTCTTCTATTTGAATTTTTTTTTCCAAAACTTCTATTCGAATTTTAAAATACAAAAGTTTACCTCTCTTATGAATCAAAATATTAAATCGTCGATCCAGCATCACATGAATGCAATATTAGTAAAAATTTACATAAATTTCCTAAAATAATTAAGTTTATTATTCTCATAAAACAATAAAGGATATTATGGCTTTTTTTAATATCAATACTAATGTTATATTTTTTAATTATATTATTTAAACAATTGTGATTGGAATTATGTGCATAATAAAAATTTATTTGTAATTTTTAAATTTATATTATAAGTATTATGTTTAAATAAGTATTATAGAAAAAAAATCACGTAATTATATTGTTTTACGGAAAATATAGTCTAAGTAGTATTGTCTTCAATAATTAAACTAAAGTTTCTTGTCAAAGGAAGAATAATTATTTTAATAATTTGATATCCAAACTTGCTATTGCAAGATAGACTATGGTTGCATATTACTTGTATATATTTAATTTTTCATATTTGTCAAATTGTAAAATAAAAAATAAACAAATTATATTAGTAATGTTAAATTGCATCTAAAAAGATTTTTATTATAATTATTCTATTTGTAGAATTTGTGTTTAATAATAAGATGTGTATCATATTACTTTGGTTTCAAGCTAATTAATCATAGAGTCTTTTTCTGCTCTGTATGTGATAAAAAAATAAATCAATAATCATATATGTATTTATACAAATTAATAAATTATATTACATTATAACAAAATAAATATGTACATTCATTCACAATTAATTATATTCATAAATAATTAAATTTATAAATAGTTAGATTTATTTAATTTAAATTTTAGATTTATTTAATTTAAATTTGATTTATGATTAGTAAATAGTAAATATGAATATAGATTTAAAATTTAAATGTTAGGAAACATGAATAATATAATTTATTTAGTATGTACAATTAATTGAATTTATGAATATTATAGATTCCTAAATGCATAAGTTTATGAATATTCATGAATAGTCAGAGTATATTAATCTATAGTTAATTAGGTTAATTGATATCATAGATTCATAAATAATTAAGTTTATGAATATTGAAATATAGTATATATGAATTTAGACTGAGAATGTTAATGAGTAGAGTATGGATAGGGTAAAACATTCTTTATTCCCATTCTTAAATTTTTATATTTTACATATTCCCGTCTTTATACCCAATGGATATTTTAAATTTATTCACATTTTTATCCACACTGGTATTTAATAAGTATGGATAATCTACATATCCACAGTTAAAAAAATAATAAAAAATAAAATTTATTTTAATTTATTTTTTAAATTTTATCTTGAATATTTAGGTTTTTTATAAATATATATATTAATATATATTTTCCAATAAAATATATTAATTATAATTAATCTAAAATAATAGTTTTAATATAAAAATCTATTTATTGTATATATACATGGTACAGATACAGAGTTAATACTATATTACCTATCCCTATTTTTATATTCAATAAAAATTTAAAACTTTACTCATTCCTATCCCCATACCGACAATATAATACCCATCATTATTCAAATAAAAAGTTGAATTCCCAATTAGGTATTGGTAAGATTAATATTTGACTTAGATTTTAAGTGATACAAAATACAAAATAAAATATATTTACAATTAATTAAATTTATAAGTGTTATAGATCCATGAATATCTAATGAAATTGACAATATAAATGATTCATGCTTATATGCAATGACAAATCTTAACAATTGACTTTGAGAGGGCCAATTAATATTACACTTTAATTTATTTTTTATATAATGTATTATATCATACTTATTAATATAAATGTATATAAATGTGTAAAAATATTAATAAAAAATAATGAGTTTATAAAATTATAAATGATAAATATTATAATTATTGGTAGTTTAGAATGTGATGTATCACTCATTGAGTATAAATATCATTTATATGTAATTTAAAAGAGATTACTTATGTTAATTAAGTAATTAATCTAAGTGTTGGATTGATCAAATCATTTGACTTGCTAAGAGTTTTTCTAATGGGTTAGATAATTTTAAAAGTCAAAAAATAAACACTTAGGCACTTGAGGTACTTGGGCTCGTTTGGCAAATAAATTTAATTTTTAAATCTTTTAAATTATTTATTTATTTATTTCAAAATATTATTAATTTTGAATAAATATGTTTTGAATAAAAAAACATGACTGTTTAAATCAAGTTTATTTAATAAGAAAAATATGACTATATAAAATGTCATTACTTATTGAATTGGCTTAATTGGTGACTGTTCATTTGTTATAAATAAATTTTTTTGCCTAATAAATTTTATTACTTCTGATTTAAAAAATTTTTAAAGTTTTATTATATCCTATAAGTATAATTGTTTTTAAGATAATGTTATTTACGTATCAAAATCATATTTTATTATTTTATATTATTTTTATTTTCTTAAAATTTATAACAATGATGACAACATTAAACATTTAATAATAACATAACTTTTAAATTAATGATAGAATTACTAATTTTACAAAATTTCAATGAAATATGGGATCTATCTTTATCCTTTGGATAGTTTAAATTTGAAACAAAAAATGGCACAAGTAAAAAATTTTCTTTAGGCATAATTCGAATGTTAAAAAGATATTTTTTATGAAAGCAAGAAAAATGAAGTTGAAAATTTAGAGATTAAAAATCTATGGTGTTTTTTTTTTTTTTTTTTTTTTTAAATGGTTCTAATATAAAATTTGTGTTGAAAAAGATTGCAATATAACAAGGAATAGAGATTTATAGTAATTAAATTTGAAATATAATATAGATATGAAAAATTAAAATTAGTTAAAGAAAAAGAAAAACGTAATGATTGTGTGTCCTCTTGATATAGTATTCTCTTAATTCTTGTAAATAAGATTCAATTATAGACCAAAAAAAAAAAAAAACACAAATTTAATACTTAATCGAAGATTTAGCATTGTTGAAAAACAAAAGAGTTAAATTGGTTTTCATTAAAATCACATAATTATAATTTAAAAATTGTTACAAAATTCTTTGTTTAAAAGATTTTAAAATAATGATTAGTGGATATAAATAATAATATGATTTTAATCATTTTAAATTACAATGTACAAAATTAAGTTATAAAATCTTAAAAAAAATAAATAATTTTAATAATTTTAATTTGAGATTCGATTTAAATTCAACCTAAATTTACATACTATCTAAATATTTTCAAAAATTTTGTGGACCTCTATCTGCTTACATGATGGTGCCGGGGTGGTACAATAATCGAAACAGGGGAGTGGCATCCAATAGTAGAATTACAAATCAAATATAGTTGAAAAAAAGTGAGTCATGCTCCCGAATGTCACAATTTTAGAAACTTACGGATAAAAATAATATATTGTTAAATATTGTTTAAAAAAATTATTTTATTTTTTGATAAAAAAAACCTCAAACATAATTTTTTAGGTTAAAAATTGAATTATAATTACTAAAACAAATATCCATAAAGGACGTTGACGATTGACTATACATAATTTTCTCATATGTTTTTTAAAAAAGAAAAAAACAAAAACCTTAAACTCTTAAAAATGAAATACAATTATGAACTTATTAGTTATATTTATTAAATCTTAAAAATGGATGAATAAAATTTAATTATAAAAAATTTTAAATATATTATTATCTAATTCATCTAAATAAATTTAATATTTTTATAAATTAAAAAAATTACATCAATGAAAAAGATTTTAACAAAAAAATAAATAAATATCTTACACCATAAAATTTTTAATAAAGCTGGAGGACTTATTTGCTATTATGTGAATTCTTTCATTTTCTTAACGAGTGATTTGCTACTTGCTGTATTTGGCTTGGCCTCCTAAAAAAAAAAAAATCTACCGTAGATTGACAGATAGACCATAAAAAATTTTAAGAGGTCCCACCAAGTCCAAAAACTGGGACCATCCAAATCACCTTACCTAAACGGCGTCAAAAGAATCAGACGGCAAGCGCTGTGTATTAAACGAAAATTTAAGTACATCCCTCACAGTCACACTTAAAAGCCCGTCACCGCCCTTTCATCGTGAGGGCAACTTCCCAATTCCCACTCTTTCTCTCTCTCCCTCTCGTTTCGAATCTTTAAACCGAAAGGATCAAATCTCCCTTCATCGCTGCCGCCTAAATGTCTCAGGTTTTTTTTGTTTTTTGGATTCTCTCAATTTCCATTTTTTTTTATTCATGTATCAAACCCTAATGGATCTATTCTTAAAATTATTTTAAATTTCAATTCCCCATGCCAAGCTAGGGTTCTTTCGATTTCTTTTCTTGCCATTGCCCAATTCTCCAATTTGTTATTCAGACGGCGAATTAAATTTTGCAAAATATTGCTTGTTATATGAAATTAGGGGCATTGTTTTAAGATGATTTTTTGTTGTGGTTCAGGTTGATAGCAGAAACTCTTCAGCAGCCAAGCGTGCTAGAACGGATGGTATGCCAATTAATTGCATTTAATTCTGTGTACTTTTTAGTGTTTGATTTTGGAAATGTTGGAATTTTATGGTTAAATTTGTAGGTAGTCGTAGGGAAGATGATTGGACCTGCCCTAGTTGTGGGAATGTCAATTTTTCATTTAGGACTACTTGCAATATGCGCAATTGCACTCAACCCCGGCCAGCTGATCATAATTCAGTAAGTCTTGAATATAGAAGAATTTTTTAGTTGTAGTTTTGGGCCTTTTGGCTCATAGGGTTTTGATTTACCGATTTACAGATTGAAATTGTTTCCACACTACAAGTAACAGAAGAGCAGATACTTTTAAATACTCGGCTTAGCAAGTTGTTTTTAATGAATTTAATGATTGGTTCTGACCTGATACAGAGGAAAAAGATAGGAGAGTTGTGTGTGCTATTCAACTGCATGCTTTGTTTTAGTCTCTCTATATCCTCTGTTTTCCTTTCAAAATTCTGTTGATCATAAGCCTTTTCTATTTGTTTGTTTATTTCTTTAGATACTAACCTTCTTTATAGTTTTTTACTTTTTTTCTCCTTTTTTTATTTTTTTATAATTAAGCTGGTAATTGTTCCCTTGCAGAAATCAGCTGCCAAGCCTCTGCAAGCCCCACAGAATTACTCTTCATCTGCTCCTTATGTAGGTTCTGGTGCACCATCTTCGTTGTATCTGGGTGTAGCTCCTTATGGTTCTTCCCTCTTCAATGGTTCCTCTATTCCTCCATATGACGTTCCTTTTTCGGGAGGATCAGCTTATCATTACAATTATGGCAGTCATCTTTCTGGTGGCAGTCCCTATCGGCCGATACATATGCCTGGACCACCCCCCTATTCTAGTGGGTCTATGATTGGAAATGGTATCAGTCATTTGCATTTTCCAGCCTGTAATAGCTATTATTTTTCTTATCTTTTACTTGTTGTATACTCCTGTTTATACATTCTTGGGAATTAAATGGTTGACCGAGAGGACACGTTGATCATAATTTATTCTATTTGCAAAATATGCCCAACCATCCCTATACCTATACGGATGACCTTAAGTATGCCGTTAATAACACATTAGTATCAACAAATTAGTAAGTTGTTAATTTTTCCTTTTCAGGTGGGATGTATGGCATGCCTCCTTTGATGGACCGCTATGGCTTGGGGTTGCCCATGGGCCTTCCTCCAATGGTAAGTTGAGAAGTTGAATGCTGCTTTGAGATCACTCTTTGTTCGGACTGTCAAATTAAGATAGCAAGTTCAGTATTTTGTATCAATTCTCTGTGTTCTAATTGCACAATTTCTAGGTTTGGAGTTGTGAACTTGATTTACGGAATATCTTGACAGTTAATAATTCTTTATTGAGCAAGCATCCCATCTTCTTTAGGTGTTTTTGCTTTTAGTGATATGTAACAAAAGCATGTAACGTGTTTAGGGTTAAATATAAAAACAGCTCATGCACTTTACTTTTTGTCAATTTGGTACCTAAAGAAATAAAATTATCAATTTGATATTTGAACTTTCATTTCGTTATTTACTTTGGTATCTCGGATTAACAATGTTAGTCAACTTGCTAACGTGGTATGAATATCCAATAAAATACTAACATGTGTCAAAAAGTTCAATTAGCATTACATCATCAATTTCATGTTAATATTAAAAGAAAATTTCTAAAAAAATTTAAAAATTTTTTAAAAAATTCTGAAATATTTTTAAAAATTTATAAAAAATTAAAAATAAAATATTATTAGAAATTATAAAAATTTTAAAAAATATGACAACTTAAAAAATAAAAAATATCAAAATTTTAATAAAAATTCAAAAAAATTTCACAAAAACTTAAAAAAAAAAATCAAAATAAAAAATCTAATTTTGAAATTTAAATTATAAAAATGAAAGTTAAAAAAAATTATAAAAGAAATTCTTAAAAATTTTCAAAAATTCTGAAAATTAAAAAATTTCAAAAATCTGAAATATTCTAAAAAATTAAAAAATTTTCAGAAAAATAAAAAACTTAAAAATTTAATAAAAATCCAAAAAATTCTGAAAAATTGATAAAATATATAAAAAATAAAAGTTGTTAGATTCAAAAAAAATTAAAAGATATTTTTTCGTAATTTAAAAAAAAATTTAGATTTTTTTTTTCAAAATTTTAAAGTTTTAGTGAATTTTTTTGCATTTTAAGAAAATTTTATTATATTAAAATATTCATTTTTATGAATTTTTCAGAATTTTAAAATTTTTTGGGACTTTTTATTAAAATTTTCAAAATTTTTGAATTTTTAAATTTTTGTAAATTTTTCAAAAATTTTTAAATATTTCAATTTTTTATATATTTTTTAAAAATATTTCTGATTTTATGAAAAAATTTTTATATATTTTTTGAATTCTTTATAAATTTTCTTTTAACGTTAATGTAGCAATTGATAATGTGGTATTGATTGAACATTTTGACACATGTCAACATCTTATTAGATATTCATGTAATATCGATAAGTTGACTAACGGAATTAATCTTAGATACTAACTAAAAACAGAATGAAAGTTAAAGTATTAAATTGAAAATTTTATTTTTTTAGGTACCAAATTGACAAAAAATATATAGTACAGAGGTCATTTTTATATTTAACCCATGTGTTTAATACCAATAGGCATACTGTGCATTGGTTCTGAAATTTCCTATTCTCTTTGGACCATCTAATATTTTTTAACAATTGGTGGAGCTACATTGTCTTATATGTGAGTCAAAGTTTATGATATAATATATATTTTTAACCTACAGGGACCAAGGCCAGGATTTTTTCCAGATGATAAATTACAGAAAAAGGGTGCAGGTATGTCATCTCTCTACTCTTTATGTTGAAAGAAGCCATTATCTGGGCATTAGAGTAATTTTTATACAATTATGTGATTACTTTTTCTTCTAATCCTCCCTAGATGCTACACGCGATAATGATTGGACATGCCCAAAATGTGGGAATATTAACTTCTCTTTCAGAACCGTCTGTAACATGCGGAAATGCAATACACCTAAGCCTGGATCTCAGGTTTTTGTCTATTTATTTATATATTTGATATTGGTGCAACATAGCTACTGTGTCACTTAAGTTGGCTTTGGTACTTTGAAAACTGAAAAATATATGAAATGCTGCATTATTTTTTCTGCGGTTATGAATCTATTTCTGATTCATAATATATTCTCTTGTAAATGCAGGCTCCAAAATCAGATAAAAATTTGAGTAAGTTATTTAAATTTGTAAGCATTTTTGTGTATTTGTTTGAAATTTGATGAATATGGATTTCTTGCTTTTCAGAACAAAAGATGCCTGAGGGAAGCTGGAAGTGTGAGAAATGTAGTAATATTAACTATCCTTTTAGGACAAAGTGCAACAGACAAAATTGTGGGGCTGACAAACCAGCCGAATCAAAGAAGTCCCCCTCACCAACAGCAAATGAAAATGATCAGGTTCGTGGTCTGATGCATTTTCTTTGTTGTCTAGTTTGTTACTTGAAGTTATTGTTTTTGTTAGCCACATTTGTACACATTAAGAATTCAATAAGCTTTCAATACTGCAAACTTTTCCTAGTTAAAGAATTTTTTGGGGTACTTCCTTTCTCTCTCTCTCACTGTGTGTGTGTTAAATTATTACCATATTTCCTGTGTTATAGTACACAGATGCTTGCATGTTACCTTTTTACTTTTAGTTTCTCTTTTTCTTTCCATTGATTTGCAATTATCTACTGTTCCAGTGAGTACTAGGACATGTTTGAGGGTTGAGAAGGTCCAGAGTTGTCGTCCAGCATTGCTCAATATGGGTGTCTGAAAGTCAGTCTTGTCGTCCTCATGTTGCAGCGGTTGTCAAGTTACTTTACCTTCTCATGATCAGTGTCCAGTTGTTGTATTAATGCTATGGTATTGTGGTCTCTATGGATCGTTGATGCATTATGTGTCAACCATCTTAATCTGGAAAATGTTTCACAGGTGGGTTCTGGTTTCTGTTAGGTAGATTTTGTACTTTGGAATTAACTCAGCTATTCTAGTTAGCATGTTGCTTTGGACTTAGACATATTGCTAGTGGGGAAAGAAACTGCAGGTTGCACATTCCTGGTTTTCATTCAGTTTGTTTTGTCTGTGTTGAGTTATCATTATGTCAACCTAAAGCTTCTATTAGAAGCATAAGAAGTACTAAACTTCCAACATTTAATTAGATCTATTGTCAAGTAATGCGGAGAGTAGGAAATTTTCAGTTGTTTCCACACTTGACTATAGGAAGTAGAGGCCAATTGTATCGGGTGTTTTTTTTTTTTTGCTTGTGATATGGTCTAAACAAGGATCTATTGTTGTGATTTTGAAAGATTTTCTTCAGATCTTTCGGAAATTACACGTTGACCTTATAGGATTAATTACTGGAGATATGGTCGGTCACTGTGTCTCCTATTTTGCACTGTCATAGATTAAGCTTTGTCCCCCGTTGGCACATTCTAATTGCATGAAGTACTCTGGTCAATTTGCTGTATGTAGTATTTATTCTTCCCGTCATTGTGTGGTGGTTAACTTGAATTGATACTCTCTAGTTTCTTAGTATAACATTTTGCATCAAGTTGCAACAAGTCCTTCAACGTTCGGAGAAAATATAGGTTTGATTAAGTTCATGAAGCTGCGTTTTTAAAATTCTGTCTTGAATCTTTGATGTAATTGACGTTTCTGCTAGCCATGTACTTTTGGGTCGTCATGGTAGAATTTTTGCCAGGTCCAGTTGGCATGAGTATGACATGTAACGGTGTAAGCACTGGTTTTGTTCTTGGACTCCCCTAGAATAGTTTTAAGTGCAGCCAGCCAGGATAGTATTTTGTTGATCTGTTTTTGGTTAAAACCAAAGGTCGGAACTACAAATGTTTTAAAATGTAAAATTATAAGGGCAATGACGGTAGTTTTGTTTTAAACCATGCGAGTAATATGGGAGTAGCGGCATTTTACGTTATTATCTCCGAGGATAATGTTTCGTCTGACATGGACAGATCATGCACAACTAGACAGGTCGAGTACGTCTCGACACCTGATTCGACTTCATGACATTTATATTCGATTTTAATCTGACATCAAAATATTATTTCTTCATATTTGATCTGCATAATCTACTTGAAATAATTTAATAATTTAATAATTTTAATTTAATATAATATTTATAAAATGTTATTTTAAATATAAATTACATTTTAATTATATATAAATGTAATATTTTTATTAAGTTAATAATTTAAATTAAATTATTAAATAATATTTTTTAATATTATATATATATATATATATATCAAGTTGGATTGGGGTAGGTTTATTTAAAATTTAATTTTGATTTGATTTAAAATTTGATTTAAAAAAAATCGAATTTATAGGTTCAGATTGGATCCGAATCCAATGAATTCAGAGAAATTTGCCATCCATAGTCATCCTTATGAATTCATGCTTGCATACATCCACTGGTTAGCTGGTTAATGAAAAACGATACTCTATGGTCTAAAAAACAGCCTGTTGGTCACGTGGTGCCTCTATCAACTGAACATTATATTTCCACCGCCAGAAGCAACAAACAGACAAGTCAATAGTTACAAACATCTCCTTTCTCATTTCTCTGCAACAAAAATTTGAAAAAAGTAAAAAAAAAAAAATTGTAATGACATAATATCATTAATGTTTATTTTTTGTTATTGTTAAAACTTTGGGTTTTTTTTTTTTTTTTTTTTTAATTTCTTGGCGAGGAGAGTGAAACCAAAATTTCCTAGCAAACTTTTGTCCTCTCTCACCCACTGATCCAAAGTAATTTGATATATGGTATAGATTACCAAGGTTAGCAGTGTCCGATGTAATGTACTCTCTTCGTCCCATCATCAACTAAGCAACTCTCTGCCCACATCCTATCCTACCCGAAATTAACCGGGCCTCTGAGGCGATAAGGAGAGCAGTTCCACCAAGCAACTATCTTGAATTAATAATCAACTTCGCAGCAGGCATGTAGATACCGGGCTTTTTAACCTCCAGTCACTAACATTCTTCACAGCTATCATTTATAGACTTAGTAGAGACGACCTACTACATTTTGGACTATTTCTTTATCTGATGTGTTCTGGTTTGAAGGTTTCAAAACGTCAATAAACTGGACCTAAGAACTTGAACGAATTAACAATTATGACGGACTCATATCTAGAATTCTTAAGTAAATGATTTTATCAATATAAATGTACCTCGGGCTTGAATTTATGTGTACCCGTATTTGTGCTTCACACAATGTTTGAAGAGTCATTTAATTTCAACGGGATCAGAAATTCAAAACTATGGGAAAAGGGGATACTAGATTGGTTGTTAAAACTTACATATCTTAACACGTAAACTTATCAAGTTGAACAAAGTTGACTGATCTTGAGCAGTCAGTTCATCTGATTGGAATAAAAGTCACAATCATATGGAGCCTTGAGCAGCTGGAACTCTTGAAAATGGTTGTTACCATCACCATGCAAGGTTGTATGCACTTGGGATTCAGTGGCCTGTTGTTCCATCTGCCAGTTTTCAGATAAGGCACGTGAAAAACCTTGTGAAATTGCATTCATTTCTGGCTGAGACACACTGGTAGGATTAGCATGCATGGAGTAGGCAAGTGAAGCATGTTTTGGCTCACAAGAAACCCAGGAATCATTTGACAGAAGAGAGAGAGCACGATGAAAATCTTGCCTCGTACCCATATTTGAAGCTACCGTGGATTCTTCTACACCTAAAAAAATTTCACAAATCATGTAAGCTTGAAAATAAGTATAGTATGGAGAGTATCCATTTTGACAAACATTAGAGACCGCAATTAATCTCTCATTGGGATAATCAACATGTCCCTGTATGCTTTAAAGTTAATTATACATCATTCTACAGCTCATGTATCATACTTCAGAAAAGTTTTCAAAGCGAAAGACCTAACGTAATAAGAATATTTTTCTATAGGTGTGTGATCCCTCAAGTAGAATTATTCCGTGCCCCCATGGAGGGCAGGATGGCACTATAATGTACATGGACCATTCCATAGAAAACCATTACATCATCAAACATCTACTGCTACCTCTCTCTATGCATGTTATTTCTGGAAACCACCAGATTCAAGTGTAAACAAATCATCGCATGCCATCCAAAAGCGTTCAGGAAAAACTTTGTAGCATAAGGATCTCAAAATACAAGAATCATTTTCTTAAATCTATTAACCAAACAAAAGACACTCCACATGGAAGTTAACTTTCGCGTTTCTTGAAACTATTGGCTTCTCATTAAACAACACTTCAATTTCTTTCCACTTGACATTCACATCATATGGTTATTTACCATTTATAATAGAATCTATTCTTGATCTTGATATAATTTACAAAAATATGTCAAAGCTAACCTCGCATACTGTTGATTTGCCAAATATTATTGTCTGACACCCATATCATTGTCCAATACATATTCAACATCTGATTTGCATATGACTAGAGAATAATTATCTTCAATAATTAAATTAAAATTGAACATGCGTGATTTTCATGATTAGTGTTAAAGAGAGTCTAACAGTATAAATTAAGAAAAAATTGTTTAAGAAAATTGATTTTTCCATATTTTCAATTGTTTTCTCTGGGAAAAGTTGAGATCATAGCAAATAAGCATTATTCAAAAGGGATAATGTTACGAATAACCCCTGAATTATAATGAAATGTTCAATGTGATACCTAAATTTTAAAATTTCTAATGTAATACCTGGACTATGAATTTGATAACTAATGTAGTACTTGAAAGATTATTTGTGCATTATGTGTCATCATTTGGAACTAGCCATGTTAGTGATGAGTACCATGTTAGTTAACAAATTTATAATTTAAGTATCACATTAGAGATTTTTAAAGTTGAAGTATCACATTAAACATTTCACTATAGTTCAAGAGTTATTCATAACATTAACCCTATTCAAAATTATGGGAAAGGGCGAAGAGGATGGGTGGCTCAGGGGTTTACTTTTATGGTAAATATGGCCTTATATTCTATCTTTTAGCTCCAAAAAAGCCAAAAGAGGTAACTTTTAGTTCTTTAGTTGTTGACACCTTGACATGTCATAGCAAAAGCTTTAGGAAAAAAGGGCACCTTTTTTTCCGTACTTATTGATGAAAAAATGGAAGATGATAAAGAAATTGGTTAGAACAAATTTTCCTAAGATTGAAATCTATTTCGTGAAAGGGTATCTCTGCATACTGCAGAGGAGTTGAGGTTACACCAACCATCTATACAATACCAAATTGGTGGCACATCGAGATTCTCACCTCATCAATCTCAACACTCATCCTCTCATGATTGTGTTCATGTTTTATCTAAAGGGAGCATTCTTAAGGGTATTTATAGTACTCCATACATAGGTGCATTTGAAAGCAATTTTGAGTTAAAATAGCAATAGAAGAAGCTAGATAACATTAGTCAACACTGAAAAACCAAATGCATATGACAAATCTTATTTCCTAGTAAGAAAAACAAAACATACCTTGGTTGAGAACCTCAGCTGTGTTGTGCTTGCCCTTGGAGGGCAGCAATCTATTGGAATCGTGACATCGCATTGTGATGGAATTCAACAGCTGATTGCCTGGCAGCTGCAGCTGTCCATTAACATTTCCAGCTTTTGTAGGTGTATAACCTTTCATTTGAGAAGACTTGGAGTCAAATGTGCCTTCCCATGTAAAATTTTCATTGGGTCTAGCATTATGAAGAAATGGCACTTTATTCCAGACGAAACTCATCTGTTGCTTCCCATCTGCACAAGCAGAGGCACAACATATAAAGCCTTATACATTAGCATGTCCTTATATCTATATAATTGCACGACCACAAGATGGTACACAATTAAGAAGTGCTAACAGACAAATTTGCATATATGACTTCTAACCAGTGAATAAAAAACTGGACCATTTGGTCAGATTGGTTGAACCAGGAACAAGTGGCATGTCCAGTCCAATAACATGTATTAAACCGAATTTTCATCAAACCAGTTAAAAATCAATTGAATCTAAAAAAACCCAGATTAAAACGGTACTTAAACCAGTTTTATATTTATTTTATTGTTATTCAAAAATTATTTGTAAGTAGTAGGATTTGAACCTTTAACTACTCAATTCTAAAAACCATACCATTAAACAAAATGCATTTTTTGTTAACTATTTATTATATTTAATATTAAATCTCTTTAAAATTGGACTGCTTGAACTGGGATCAGGAGCCCTCACAGGTTTACCTCCAGTCTGTTTTTTTATTCATTGCCTCTAACTTGAAAGGAGGAACAACAATTATATTAGAAGCATAACATCCAATAATGTAAGGTGTAAATCTTCCTCATTATATATTTTTTTGGCAGAATACAATCAAAGAAAATGCTTGATATGCATGAGACAATTAAATCTCATTATATCTCAGTGGACATGTAAATGGCATACAAATAAAAAGAACTGCATGATAAGCATTCAAAAAGCATCATGAACACGTTTTGGACTCCGTATACTTTATAACTTAGCAATTCCCAGGTCTGTAATTTTCAAATTTTGTATAAATTACGCCTTTTATTGTATATTTAGTTGCAAATAATGATTGCAGACATGTAACATTAAAACCAGAAGAAACCATTATACCATTGGCTTCGATCCAGGTATGCACCATTTATGAGTACAAGTTAAAGATGAAAAAAACATAGCAAAGCCTAGTGATACCATTGAGTGTATTATCAATACATACATACATACATACATATATATATATATACATATCAAGATACAACTTAGTTAAGAAATCACTCAAGATATAATTGACGTTAGTTTTTGCAACCAATATGCAACATATATCAATATATTGTATTACCATTGCCTACTAAGCACCATTTATAGGAAAATAATTTAATCAAATAAAAAATCCAGATATGACTTGGTAAATGAACAACTGAACTCCATAATTTGAGAGTTAAAAGAAAAAAAAAAATGAAAAAAAAGTGTCCAGTTGGTCTATTCCTGTGAGAGTAGCATACAACAAAAATTATCTGCATAAAACATATCAAAGTTGAGTCTGAAACTGGTACCATATGATGAAGATGAAAGACTTGCAGGATTGAAATGGATTGCTTCTGTCTGTGGTTTGCGGCGCCTTGCATTGTGGTCAGAAAGACGCCGACGACAGCTTCGCTTCTTTTGATCAAACTCCGACAGGCCATGGAACCTTTGATATCATGAACAACATAATTATGATTTTAACATTCGTTATGATATAGAATCACAAGCCCACTAATAAGGAATCAAATTACTACTATCAGCTAAGAACCTAAAGTGTTTGATACTAAGATAATTAGAAAATCACCATGCAAAAGTACACAATCAATAAAGACAAATTCTTGGATACCATCAACTTCCAAAACAAAAATTAACAGAACCAAAGAAAAAATCTACCTGCTACACTGCTGACAGAACCGGCGTTCCAGACCACCTACAATGACCTTTGGACTCTTTGAATGGCTTTCACAAACTCTGTGTTTCTTATGGTAATCCTTAGCAGAAGATAGGTCAAGATTACAGCCTTCAACTTGGCAGCGTGGAACATGTGTGCTCTGACAATTGGGTTTAGATCTCTTTGTTGAGGTTGGAGATGGTTCAGGAGCGGCTGAATAAGATGAAGTCTTAGCATTGCTTCCGGCGGAAACATCTTCAAAGTATGTTCGTTTACCAAGCTTTAAACTGAGCAATGGCTCACCAGAGCCAACTGATGCCTCAAGTGTTGGGGAAGAACCAGTTAGCTCAACCTTGGAAAGTTCTTTCTTGTTGATTATATCATCTGGGATAGCTTCAAAGGCTTCCAAAGTAAATTTGGCTGTCTTTACCTCCCCCATAGATGAAGAATTAATCGATGCCGATTTCGAGCTTTTAGACAAAGAAGCAAGGCCCAAATCTGAACCAGAACCACCACTGCCTCCAGCAGCACCTGAAGAATAGAGAGACCCAGAGTCAATTCCTCCCTCTCCATCAATATCCCACTCTACCGGTCTTAGCTTCCTTGGAATTTCAGTTGGTGTCACATTGAACATCATTAAGTTTTCCCAGTCCCATTGCAAGGGCGTTTTGGCATTCCACTCCATCAGAGAGATAGAACTCATAGAACACTTAACACAATCTTCTTCATATAAAACCCAAGCAACTTGTCACCAGATCCTGAAAATATAACCTTGAGGCTTGTTCAATTCACAGACGAAATAAATCAGAAAAATTTTTCAGTCATCCTAAATACAGTAACGCTATATATGAAGGAAACCATTCATGGACTCTATATAAATACATAGCATGCAAAACAACAGGTAAGCAAAATTAATCCTGGCATATCAAGAACAAAAGTTAACTCTAAATCTCACAGCTCAGAGCCCAAGCATCTCTGTTTCTCAGATCTAGAGGGGTACCACTTAGGAAATTGTCAATCCACTTTAACAAAACAATAGTTCATTCACTCCTTATATCAATTTTAAACTAAAAAGGCTTGCTGATGCCACTTGGAATCAGCTTCAGTCAATAATCGCGACCAGAGTAGCAGAGATGTTTAACTAAACAAGCAACCACTTCTCAAGACAAGCAATTTTTATGCATATATCAATCTCCATCCTTCTAAAACAGACGACTTAGGTAAAGACATCAAAAAGATCATAGATTAGGCCTTGTGAACACAGAACAAGAATAGCAGTACAGCTTTTCTCCTCCTTTCACTATCGCCTACACCAACAAGCTGACAGCATAACTCCAAATGATCTCTCTATTCGCTCTTGTATGTATTTATGTATGTAAGCCTACACCATCAAGATAAAAAGTATCACTTCAATCCCAAGTCAAAATATGTGTTCCTTAAACCTGCAACACTTGCACCGAATTCCACCACCAAAATCCTAGAAGAATTTACCCTTATCTATCAACACATCTGAAACTAACTACGGTTTGGCAGCATCAACAAGAAGCTCTCTCTCTCTCTCTCTCTCTCTCTCTCTCTCCTCCTCAATAATTATAGGAAGCAGTAACAGTTTTCATGTAGAGGGAGTAAAAAAAAGAAAAAAGAACATTCACGTTTTAATTTCACTCGCTTTACCGCACTCTAAAAACCTTAACACCTTCAATAATTCACATTCAATTATCTGGGCAATCCATGAAAGTAGGTCCCTGACTGAGACCCACCGATCAACTACTGTAAAATAAATGCAACGAAATCCTAATCTACCACAAATTCAACAGTTTACCGCCTTAAAGAAAGAATCTATCTCAGCTACCTCTTCTTTTACCCCACAGAATGCATTAGAATCAATCAACAAATATCACAAATGCAACCAAAGAAATAAATTCTACTCATAAATTTATTCTCCATAAAAAAAAAAAAGTTTGTAGTTTTGAACTGAAACATAAACAGAACAAACAAATAAACTAAAATTTGTCTTTTTTACGGGAAAATATTTATAGAAATCATGAAAGAATAAACTTTTACAAAGTATCCGGTCCCCTTCCAAGGTATAGCTCATCATATTATTATTCCTTTTAAAGATTTGATAAATTCTACCTAAATTTCAGCCAGATATATAAGGCTAAAAATAAAAAGGAACCCTTTTAACAAAAAAAAAACGTAGTCGTTTTCTTTCATTTCGCCAGAAATCAAGACAAGGAAAGGAACAATAACGAGAAAAAAAAGCATCTTTTATTATTATTATTTTTAATTTTTTACCTTTTCAAAAGTTAGAACAAATTAACGTAAAAAAAAATAATAATAGAAGGTGATTAGAAAATGATGTTTGAATCTGAGCCGCAAAAACAAGGGATGTTTCCCCATTTTTAGAAATTCCGGTACCTCATTATTACCCTCTTTATTAATCCTAAAAAAAAGTCTCTCTTTTTCTTTCTTTCTTTCTTTAAAGGGTTTAGTAAAAAAAAAATTTGAAAAAAAAAAGAAGAAAGAAATGGAAGAACTTACAGGTAACGGAGTTACTTAGCGATCGGTACTTTAATGGTGGTCAGAAAAAAAAGAGAGAAAAATTAAGAACTTGAAAAGGAAAGGAGATAAAGGCACAGAACAGCCCACAGGTGAGTCGGAGTCAGACAGAGAGTCTCTCTCAGAGACTGAAAATGGAGGGACAAACTACAGAAGAAAGAGAGAAAATAAAAATGACTCAGCTTTTTGCGAAGAAATAATCTCCTTTCCTTTTTTTTTTTTTAAATTGCAGAAAATAGGTAGCAATTATAAGTTAAGGACACGTGCCGGTAATAAAGTTGGTTGCAACTTTCGGCAGTGGACAGTATTGAAAGGGCGACCATGTTCTTGTCAGTGCCAGGTAACCACCCAGCCAGCCACAGCCAGGGAGGGGAAGGAATTTTTTCAACCGATCCAAGTTACATTTACTCGAATCGTTAACTACAGTCCAATGACACGGACGAGCCGACTCGGTGGCGACAACTACAGGTCTTTTCCTTTTTTTTTTTTTTTTGGGTAGGGAAAAATTCCAGTTGACAACATGTTCTAGTCAACACCTCTAGAATTTCGATTTGTTTAAACATGGAATTTAAGGATTTTACTGTGTATACAAATTTGTTAAAAATTTTTTTTCATTTGGATTACATTGCACTTCTGGTTTGTTGCGTTCGAAATATTTTTTTCAAATTTAATCTCATTAGATGAGTGTTCGGATAGGATACAAATGATGAGATTATTTCATTTAGACTGCTCTGGAGGTTGAAATTCAATTGGAGGGGAAGAGGTTCAGTGGGACCATTTTATCTTCATTAAATTATGTCTATTACAATTTTATCTTTAATTTTGTATGTTTTAGATTAAAATATCCTTATAAATTTGAAAATTACATATCAATTTTATGATGGTTTGCATTCAATTATTTATAATTAAAATATAATTTTAGTATTTTTAATTTTTTAACATCATAAATATTAAATAAATTCATTATATCTAAATTTTAATCTAATGTTTTTTTAATTCATTTTTTTGTAAGTACTTTATCTCACCGTTATTATTATTTTTATATCCAAATACATATTTTATTATTAATTTTAATCTTATTGTATCTTATCTTATTATTTCAATAATTAATCTCATTTTTATTATTATTTTTAATCTTATTAAAGATAATTTCATCACCATCCAAATTGAGTCAAAGTTAGAAAAAAACAATATTTTAAGATGTATTTGGTGTTTAAGAGTTCATTTAAATGAGTTGTGAGATTAATTTTAATAAGATTAAAAATAATAATAATGATGAGATTAATTATTATAATAATAAGATTAAAATAAAGATATTTATTTAAATGCTAATGTAGATAATTATGAGGTGAATGTAAGAAGAGAATTTATTATTAATGACATTAAATTCAAATTTGTATATAATACAAATTTTAATATATTTTTTGTACTTTTTAGTTAATAATTAATTGGAATCGACTTAAATTATTTTTATATCAAATCAAAATTTGAAAGTATTTTTCAATAAAAAAATTTATGCATGTTATTTTACATTAAAATAATAATTAGAATTTTAAATATTAAAATTATAAAAATATTTCAAATATTTAACATTTGAAATATAATACTTATAACAATTATAAATGATATTTAGATAAATACTTTTAAATATAAATATAAAACATGTAATAAAATAAATAAATTTAAAAAACAAAACAAATATATATTAAAATGATTTTAAAAATTAAAAAAAAAAAATAGTATGGATATTATGGTCCAAAGCTTCCAATTGAAGCTCACGGTTTCTCGTTGCATCAGGAAAGGACCAATCTCCAAGTAGAGAAATGATGGGATCAATCCCAACGTAATGATGTCATCCAGACATCACACGGTGAGATTTAAGGGCAAATAAAAGCTCATTTGAATCGCTCTAATGTTCCGACCTAATTCAAATGGGATCTAAATCAGTCAAATGTATTAAAAAAATAATAAATAAATGAAGAGAGAGAAAAGTAAATAATAATAATAATAATAATAATAATGCGTATATGATTTGATTTTTTTATATATTTTATGGATGATAATTTGATTAATTGAAATGATTTTTTATTTTGAAATTATAAGCTAATGATATTAATTAAGATTTCGCTGAAATGATCATTAAAATATAATAAATTATTTAATGTTCATTTGGGTGAATTTAGCGAAACTTTCCTTCAATTGTTTCTTGAGTTCGCCCTCCAACCTAAAAAAAAAGGGGGTTTTCTGTCTTATTATTGAAAAGGAAAACAAAAGGGAAAAGAGAGATGATTATAGGCTCATGACCATCGTCCTTGGAATTGCCTGTCAGCGGTGATTAGATTTCACTAATCTAATCACCAAGGACTTTAACATGGTGTAACACTCGCAGGTGTCCTTTACCAACTATTGGAACCAGTTGAGATTATAATACTACAAATTGTTAATAAAGGAAGTCCAATTTTCTGATTATAATATAATCACACTTGTAATTATGCATTAAAATAATTCACTCATTGTGTGTGCACAATTTGTTAGTAGATGGGTGGATCTTCTCACTTTCACCGGATATTATTATAAAATAAAATATGGATAAAATCCATCAGTTTGAGCCACAACTTGGTTCGAACAGTATTAGAATGTTAAAAATATTGAATGATTAGTGTTGAATTTTTAATGATTTAGATTGGACAAGTTGGCCTCAGCTCAAAACATTTTAAACTTTTTTTTTTATTTGTTCTTCTTTAAAAATAGGATTGAATCTGCAAGATCTCAATGCCAATGCTCATGATTAAAAATCGGAAGATCTCACGTGAGCCCATAAGGTAAAATTAAATTTAATTTGACACTCTTGTTTTTTTTCTCTTTTGAATGTGGTTAATCAAAGTAGCAAGTAAATCTTCAATAATTTATGTATTTATATATATTTATTTCGAATCAAATATATGTATAATATAAAAATTAATATTTTATAATTATATTAATATATTAAAAATAAAATATATATTTTTATTTTTATTAATTTTATATACAATTTTATTAAAATTTTAAATTATATTATTTTGATATATTTTGACATTATTTTTATATCGTATCATCATATCATATTTAAATTTATCAATCTAATAACATCACTAAAACTGTTGTCCAAGAGAGGCTGTGCGCGGAAAACAGACTGTTGAGATTTGTTCTCCGGGTTTCCTTTTTCTCTATGCCATGGTGCTGACCAGAACTGGCGCATTGGTCTAGTTTTAAGCAACTTCTTATCAAATTTGTCAGCCTAGGATTTGACCACAAAATCTTGGCTCAATGGTTTAGTACCAATAACCAGTTCAATCAAGCGTTAAGATTAAGACCTTTAAAATTCCCAAACAGAAACAGATAAGATACTTCTATTAATTATATATTAGGAGAGTTCAAACATTTTTTAGAGGATAAATATGAGTTCAAACAAGTGGTTTAGCTTATTTAGGCAAATGTTGCATTAGTTGTGGAGCTGTTTTTTCCCATGTTTTCTATCATCGTATCTTTCAAAAACCTTCTCATGATCTTCCCTGATGGGGATTTTGGAATTGCGTCCACAAACTGCAAAACCCTCACTTTCTTGTAGTGTGCAACATTGGAGGCTACAAAGTCCATGATGTCTGTTTCGCTTTCTTTGGCATTTGGGTTCTTGACAACACATGCAGCTGGGATTTCACCTGCCTCTTCATCAGGCAGCCTGCAGTTACTCAACAGTTGGTGAAATACCATACAAAAAGATTTTATGTTACGAAATTGCAATGCAGCAAACTACTTACGGCACCACTGCTGCGTCTTCAACAGAGGGATGACTCAGGAGGATAGCCTCTAGCTCTGCTGGAGCTACCTGTGGAAGTACCAAGACTTCAAATTTAGCCAATTGTAAATGCCAGTTTTAATCATTTTCAATTACTACAAGTTTTGCCACTTGGTTGTTGTAGCTTGTGAGACCAAAACTCTGTCAACCATAGCCTGGTCATCATTTAATAGGCAGTCCCAGTTTTGAAACAAGGCGGGCTAGAAGTTGCTGCTCACTTTAACAACATTATTTACTCGTTCAATGCAATTATGCAAATCAAATGCTTAGGTTTGGTTTCTTTTGTTCTAAACAGCAGTTCTATCTTGGTCAAAAAGGAAAACACCGATTCTGTCGTTTTGATCCTGGGAATTTCTGGCAAAAAAATCTTCTTGTCCTACTCCTTGAAAATCCTTCTTCTTCCCTTTTTTTAGAGGAAAGCGGAACCAAACAAAATTGATGAAACAGAAAAGCTATTACGAGTGAAAGGAAAAACAAAACAACAAAGGGCAAACTATACTTTCGTTTTAAAGAGACATACTATAAAAATAATCAGTTTATAAAACTTTTTATCTGAACGAGAATTAAAAAAATTTTGAAATTTTTTTATATATGTCAAAGTAATTAAAAAAAAAATCTCTTTTACGTATCTATCTAATTTAGCAATTTTTGAAAAAATTATTTTCGTATCAAAAAAATTATTAATTTTATACTTATTGGAGTTTTATCAATGAACTAAAAACAAAAAAAAAATGTACGTACGACCTGTTCCCCTCAAAAATATTTTATGAAACATTTAAACAATTTAAATTAAGCAATGGCATGTATCCTTAATTGTTCTGACAATTTTACAGCACAATAGCTAATTTCATAAATAGAGATGATAATCAAACAAAATGAAGATAATGAAGACAAAACGTCAAAACCAAAAAGTAAAATAAGCAGGCCAACTCTCACTTATTGGCTTCGTTGGCTTTGTTCAACTTTCATGGTTGTCCAACTTCATTTTGTTTTATTATCAGCTCATTGACATGTCAAATCAGAAAAAGTAGCCTACCAGTTTTCTGTATGTTTTCATGCTATGGTTCATTGGGTATTGCTGTCATGTTTTATTCTCAGAAACTCCCAACCGAAAACAAAAGGTCGTTTTTTTTTTTTTTTTTTCAAGAAGACCAAAAAGTAGCTACAATATGTCAAAATCATGAGCTTACTTGAAAACCCTTATACTTGATTAACTCTTTGATGCGATCCACAATGAAAATATCTCCATCATCATCTATGTACGCAATGTCACCTGTGTGCAGCCATCCATTCTTGTCAATGGTCCGACTGGTCTCCTCCTTGTTTTTGTAGTAACCTGTAAGGTTGCAATATCAGCCAGAAGAGAACCAATTATAATTTAAGTGCCAAATCGAATATCATTTCCAATGATCTTATGAACTACAGCAACTTGTTTTTGGGTGTTTTTTCACCTTGCATTACGCATTGACTTCTGACACACAATTCACCCGGGGTATTCTTGGGAAGAGATCGACCGGTGTCAGGATCAATGAACTTGATCTCTAAATTAGGAAGGATAAATCCAACTGAGTTTTTCTTTGCACTGTCATGGCCTTTAAGAGGGTCTCCATGGGTGAGTGTGATGCAGCTATGCTCGGTTAGTCCATATGCCTAGTACCCAACAATTAAACAGATATAAGTATAGTATTATAAGGCAAAGCATGAAATTCAGCTGAGTAAATGGGGCATTTTCTCACCTCTTGGACCTGAACACCAGGGAACTTGTTTTCAAAGGAGGCAAGAAGCTCTGGGGCTAGTGGAGCGGCTGCAGTCATAATAGCCCTGAGTTTGAGCTTACTAAGATCAAACTCGTCCACTATGGGATTCTTAACAAGGGCAAGAATTATTGGTGGCACAATTGGGGCAAATGTCACCTCTTGTGTGATCAATGCATTCAGGAATGTCCTAAGATCAAACCTATTCATCACCACCACTTTTCCTTTGTTCCTAAGCGTGGCACAACAAATTCCAGTGATCCCATAAATGTGAAAGAACGGAATTAGGCCTAATGTGGTGACCTGACCTATCATTTCTGGTCCTACACTGAAGAGAGAGGAGCATAGATTAGCCACTATATTTCTATGGGTCAGCATTACACCCTTTGAAATCCCTGTGGTGCCTGATGAGAATGGAAGGGCACATAGATCACTCTGGAGAACTTCCTCCTTAGGGAACCTGGTGCCTGCACCAGCGCGGTCAGCCGCTTCAAGCAGCTTGTCCCAATTTATGGCACTCTCAATGTGCTCCTCACCTAGCACAATGACCGGTAGCTCCAGACCTTTCACCTGTTATTTCAATCTGATGGTTAATTTTACACTGAAGAGTTTGTAATTTCTGTTTTCTCCAATTAAAGATTTAGAAGCATTATTTTATAATAAGCCAAGAAAGAACAAGTATTTTAAAAAGTGATATTGCAGAAGATAAGTCGTTGAGATATTCAGTTTGCTTATTCTCCCATCCCATGCTTGTCCCATGCGCTATTGTTAGATATCATAGTTTTCAAAAAGATCTAGTCTTTGGTTCAATCGGGATGCTAGACCAAAATTGCATGAAGAAACAGCTAGTGTCCATTCAAGTACTACACCACAAATGATGATTATACAAAAGAAAAAAAAAATCATCATTTTATTGGAAGTAGCTATCTTAATAAGAACTGAGGCGTTTTAACTCATTACCTTTTCATAGTTTGGGCCATTTGTTACTATCAACTTGGCATTTGCAGCATCTGCTTGTTTTTTTAATTCTGATGGGTGTGACGCTGGGTTTGCACCTGAGAAAACACCACCAGCAGCCATGATTCCAAGAGCAACAATGCCATACTCTGCAATATTGGGGAGTAGAACCAGAACTACATGGCCTTTCTTGAGGCCAAGTGAACTTAAGGCCTTCCCAAACCTCCCTGTGTCCCTGACCACATCGCGATAAGTATATGATTTTCCAGACACAGCTTCAACAAATGCCACCTTGTCAGCATATAATTCAGCATCCTGGAAAACAAATTCTGGCAGCGTCAAGTTATCAGGCACCGAAACTGGTGGATATTTGCTACGGAAAATATGATCACCATTATCCTCTGAGTGTCGTATTTGGGTTGGAGTTTCCATGATGGGGTACAAGGATTTGCAGTGATGATCCTACTGGGCACCGGCCTGTGCTTTATAAAGGAATGTGAAATTGCCATAAATTCGTCATCATGTACTGTGCATGGGATTGTGAGTAAGAAGGATACAAGTAAACTACAGGCAAATGTAAGAATATTGCCGTGAGTTTTTGCTTTGGTGGGAGTTTGTTGTGTCATGTTACAGTTACAGGGTACAACAACGATCTTTCTGCAATTGGCTTTGAAAATTCCCTCTTTTAAATCCATATCATTCATTGCCCGTGATGTCATCGTCTTGTCACTTACTCAAAAACAATGAAGATGTGCTGGAAATCTTGAAAGAAGAATTGATGCAATTTAATCCGTCTTGACATCGCTTTTAACTGAATGAAATTATTAACATTAGTGGATAAAATCAATGCACGTCTTATGAATACACTGAACTATTCTTTTTCTTGACATCTCTTCATTTTTCATTCAAAAAAAAAAAAACTACTTTTTCTTCTCTATTCCAATCGGTTCCTATCATTCTTAATTTTAGCCCAATTGACAAAATAAGTTACTTTTGTTAAAGTTTTCACAAAAATAAAAATTCAATTCATTTCAATAAAAAACAAAAGAAACTCATGTTAAATTTAATTAAATGTATGAATTTTTTTTTAGAATAGGGATTCATTTATATTGATGTATCTCTTTTATTCTTTAAAATTTTGAATCAAAAAGTAATTTATAATTCATTTAAATCAAAATAAAAATTTTAAATTTAATAATTTTAAAAATATGTAATATTTATAATAATGTAAGTAAATCTCTTCTCTTTATTTTACACTTTAGCAGTAGAATTCTCCACTTTATATGGTGAGGGCCTCCATGGGACTCTTGAGGCATTTTATCTTACTTTGGGCTCGGCTCAGTTGCCTAATTTGGACTACATATCCAAAGAAAATTGTTGAACCCATTAAAAGTGGACCAATGTAAAGTACAACCACAACCCAAACGAGTTCGCAAACTTACTATTTTATATTGCCGCAAGTTCATTACTTTCAAATTATGGGCCAAAAAAAAAAAAGAAAAAAGGAAAAGGACCACGAAATGAAAATATTATATATACTATATTTTCACTCAATATGTTGAAAATATTAATAAAATGATCAATTATTATATTTAATATACTATTATCATAAATAACATAATAATTAACTTTAAAAAATATTTTCGTTTCGTTAGCAAAACTCAAACATAATACTTTAGCTTTCTGTTTTAAGCCATATTTGTTTCAAGAGAGTAGTTGAAGACTGATGGGACTACTTATAAGCTTAAGTCAAAAGCACTTTGGGATCAAATTCAAAAACATTATTGTAATTCCAGGAACAGGAGAGCAAAACCCATGTATTAAAAAAGTATTAATATCATGAATAGTTTTAAATTATAATAAATGATTTAATATAATATTTAAATTACAAATGTATTAATTAATATGATAAATGAGATTATTTATCCATAACATCACATCATTTGAGGTTAATAATATAAAAAATGAAGTAATATATTAATAATTTATATATTATATTAAAAAATTTTAAAATTTAAATAATATATTAAATATTTTTTCATAATTTAAAAATAATTTATAATATTAATCCCTTAAAAAAATAAAAATCCACAAATATAAAATATATATGTATAAAATTTAAATTTAAATTTATATAATTATTTTATAATGGGTGTAAATTTTAAATATTAATATTCATATTTTTAAAAAATTGAAAATATATTTATATCATGCACACTTAAAAGAAAAGGAATCATTGTGATGAAAATCATGAGTCATGATACCCACCACTATTTCCATTTCCCATCAAAATCGAAATTATAAATAAAAAATAAAAATAAAAAAAGAAATAATGTTCCCTAGAGAAGCTGAAATGATTACCCACAGCCATCCCGTACCCTTGCTTTTGACAAACCTAATCATTTTAAATCTCTTCCCTATTACCGTAACTTTACCCTCTCCCCTCATCATGACTTCCTTTATTTTTATTTTTATTTCAAGTTTATCCCTCAATTTTACATGCCAAGCTTAAACCACACTTTTTTTTTCCCCATTCTTGATACCCTAAAAAAAACCATAGTTTAGCCAAAGAATTTTAAATTAAGATGACAATGATCTTATTAGCATGTTTGTAGAAAAAATTGATCACAGATTTAATTGAATATAATAAACAAAATTGTAATTAACCTTTGTATCATGTGGGATAATTGATTCATTAATTGTAAGTTGTTTTTGTTAATAAAATAATAATAATAATAAAGATGAAATGTGAAGTTTAGGTAATCAATTAAGGGAAGCAAATGCTTTGAACACTCAAGCTCTAAGTAGAAGCAAACGTTGGGCGGCCGTCTAGAACGGTTTGGTTTTGAGGGTTGTTGATGCATCACTCGTCGCATCATTTCGGGCTGAGGTTTCAATCAATCATGACAGTGAACCCACAACTGTTTTTTTTTTTTTTTAAGACTATGAAAGTTATTTTTATCTTTAGATTAAAAATATGACGTACAATTTAATTAAGTTAATATTAAATTTTTACAAATTTGATTGTCAATAATAAAAGTCAATTTTAAATTTTATAAATATTTGATTTTTATCGATGTTGTAAGGATAACACAATCAGAAAAGCTGCGGAAACGTGGAAGTTTCTGGTTGATACGGCTGTTAATCCAATGTTGGAGAATAACCAGTAGAAATCAACAACGTGTCCATCAAACCAATTTGCAATCAGTTTTAATTAGTTTTCCAGTTGGCATTTTCTCCATGATTCTCTAGCTCCACCGAACCAACCTTAAAGTGACATTTGAGTATTTGACAACCAAAAATTAACTTAATTAGATAGATATTCTAGCAGGGTCAGAATTTTTTTATTTTTATTAATTATTTTTTGTTTAAATTTATTAAATTACAAATTTTTTTAAAATGAAAAATAAAAAAAAATCAAATGAGATGACATATAGACATTTTCATTATGTTTATTTTTAATAAAATTTATCAAATAAAAAATAAAATTAAAATAAAAAAGAGTTCATAGAAAATATGATGCAAATAATTTCATTGAGTTTAAAATATTAAAATTTTAAATTAAAATATTAAATCATAAATTTATTAATAAATATAATAAAATTAAATTAATAATAAAATACATTTATATATATTTATAAACGCATTGAAATAGAGCACTTTAAACATACTTTTGATGTGGTCTAGTAATTTTTTAAAAACAACTTAACTCTTTTCAACTTGATCACAACTTAAAAAGGGAAAAAAAATTCACATGTATCATAAATACCTTAATTTGTATTATTTTTTACAAATTTATATAATTAAAAAAATCAAAGAAATAATAATAATAAAATAAAATAAATAGAGGAGCTGATTTAAATGAGTTTCACACAAAAACTTATAAAATATAAAAAATCATTTGTTAAATATAAAAGTAGACAAATGAAAGAAATATAAAAATAAAAAATGAAAAATGAAAGAGTCAAAACATGACACACCTTGGTGAAAGTTATAGTTACAAAAATTAATATAGTTGTTTTTATTGGATCAGGTCATACGGGGAAATTTTTTTGTAAAATTAAAATGAGTAAAATTTATATAGTAAATTAAAAAATAAAAAAATTGTAAAATATTTTTATTTATTAATATCAAACGAATTTTTTACAAAATTTTAAAAAATAAATATTTTATTAAATAGATAAAAAAGATAAATTAAAAAATTAAAAAACAAATGACTGCCACTTGGCTAATGAGAAGTCAAACTTAAGAAAATTAAGATACAGAATGTTTGTTTTTCCACGATCTCTAGAAGTCCCACGTGGCAGTTCAATCCACTGCTTTTGCTTGTACTTGATCAACTTTCTTAAACTCGTGATGATGGTTTCAAAATTATGGGCAGTCGCCGCTTGCTCTTATTTTAATTTGTTGGTGATTTTTTGTTTTCTGTTTTAACTGAATTTAATTTTGGTTTAAATGCGTAAAAGCTTTTCTTGGAAAATACTTTTCCTTACTCAACGAATTTCTATATATTTCAGGTAAGGTAGAACGTATACACCATAAAACCAAAACATTCAGCAATGTTTTTTTATGTTGGATGACAACCAAAGCCATTTCAATTAATGATATTTTTCATTCATTGTGTTGTGTACAAACAATTATCCATTCCTTGTAATAAAAAATTATTTTTCAATATTTTTAAAAATATTATAAATCATTGCTTGGATAGAAAATAAATATTTTTATTATTAAATTAAATAAAAATATACATTTAAAAAAACATTTTAAGTACATATAAATAATATATATAATTTTAACTCAATAATTTAATATCGTTTTTACGAAATAATTCCTTTTAAAAAATGCATGGTAAATAGTAGTAGTAATAAATACGACATTTATTCAATTAAGTATCGATTTGTTTAATATTATATTTATTAGAAAATTTATTATTTTAAAAAATAAAGTAAAATTTTATTCAAAAAATTTTGATAAAAGGGAGGGCAAATATGTAATTTGAGGGGCACAAATGTCATGATGAGTTAGAGTAGGTCACTTCCGTAAATCAAACAAAATTATCTAACATGGAAAAAGTGGGTGGGGAGAATCATGCCGTGTGCGTGCAACGAAGAACCGAGTGAGTGAGAGAGAAAGTGCCTGGAGGAGATCTCATCTCAGCCGTTGATTTCCTTTTTGTAAAGCCAAAAGGTCATTTAGTCTTGTTGACCATGAAAAGCCTACACGTGGAAGCACTAATTCTAAGACTAAAAAATAAAAAAAATAAAAAAAACCACCCAAAAACAAAAAAATTATTCCATTTTGTTGAGGGAATCATATACCCCAAAACCTCTTCATTTTTCTTCTGTTCACTTCATTACCCTTCCACTCCCACTCTCGTAGAAAAATGTTTGGTTTATGGGAAATTTCCATTTCTTGCTTAAAGTTTTTAAAATTTCAATTTTACGATGTACTTTTTTCCTCCATGACTTTTTGGTCTAGAAAATAGAAAATGTGTATATAGTAAGCAATTTTTATTTTCTAGAGTTAACCTTTCTTGTTAATATATAACTATAAATCATGTTTGAACACTAGTAAACCTAGTTTCCATTTTTTTTTAATTTTTTTATCAAAACACAACTTTTTAGATAAATTATTACATTTATTAATAACAAAAATTTAAATTTCACAATTTTTATTAGTAGAATGATACATAACTATTTTAAAATATAATAAAAATAATTAATAATAAAACATATCATATCTCTTAATTTCGTTAGTACCAATACATAAAAATATATATTTTTTAAGTATAAAAATCTTAATTTTAACTCTTTGAATTAAAAAATACATGCAATTTTACCATTATGATAAATATCCAAGTGCAAGTTTGTCCTAAAGTTGAACTTTGATTGTTCTTTTTCCAATAGTAATTCCGGGGCACTACCTAAATGAAATTGGCCTAATTTCAAACGAAGAAAAACAAAAAAGGGCAAAGAGGAGGGCAATAATAGAAAAAGAGAAAAAGAAAGGAGAAAAGTGGAAAAGAAGGAAGATAGATACTCGAGTAAAAATCAAGTGGGATGATTACAATGACAAAGTTGCGTGCGGGTCAGAATAATTGCAAGAAATTATCATAATGGCTATCTGACGTGGAAATAGATGACTGGCTAACTCACAAGAAGGGGTGAAGCACTTCAAAGAGATAAAGAGAGAGAATTGAAAGAAGAAGAAGAAAAAAAAGGGGGGTTGTGTTTTTTTTTGGGACGGGGTTAAGGAAGGGAGAGTAAAAAAAAAATACAAAAGGACAATTCATTTTTGTAGTCGTTGTTCGCGTTGTTGGGAAGAGGCTATTGGGGCATGGAAGGGCTGGCCATGCTCAGGCAGGTCATCGGTCAGCTTCAAGAGCACTTGCAACTCTACGGTTCTCCTCCTCTTCTTCCGCCTGCTCCACCTTCCTCTCCTCTTCACCTTCTTCACTTTCACCAACTGCCTCATCCACCCGACGACCACCACCCCAGGTTCCTTTCCTTTCTCTCTTAGATCTCTTCAATCTCTTCTTGCTCTCTCACCTCACATTTCTCTCTTTCTTTTCAATTTTTTTTTTCTTTCCTGCTCGGCTTCTGTCATTGCTCGTTTCTGTTTTTCTTTTTTGGACAATAAATTAGGTGATTTAGTCGTAGGTGTTCCTCTGTTATCCGATAATGTTAGTTTCTTTCCTTGCATTTCTCATTGGTTGAGATTTTGTTCAATTGCTGTTATGCCACTGTTGTGTTTTTCTGTCAAATTTTCTTTTTCAGGGTCTTCCACATGTTTCTTACATTAGATTTTTTTTGGCTTATTTATATTCATTTTTTTACCTAATTTCTACTCTTTTATGCAAAAATTAGTTAATTATTCCATTTTTAAAGTTTTCATCACTATTCTTTCGTGGTATTCCAATCGTGTAGATTCTTTCTTACTCCTTTTCCCCTTTTCCCCTTTTACATTTTTCAGTTTCCCCCTTCTTTATCAGGGGTTGATGCTGTTCTTTTCATCTTGTCATGGTCAACTTTGAACTTGTTGATCATTACCTTTTGATAAATGATACTTGAATATCTCTCTTCTTGGTTGATTTGTGTGTGATTATATGGTTGACTATGAACATGGAATCTCATTTATTAACTGTTTGCTTTGCTCTATGATTTTATGAGAACACATGGGCTTAAACCTATGATTCTTGAATAATTATTAATCCATAGGCTAATCAGCTGTTCTCATTTTCCTTTTTTTTTTTATTCAAAATGTGAAGATAAATAGAGGTTAGTTTACTAGTTTTTCAACAAAATCCAGGAGTTTCGAGTAACAAAGAGTTGTTGGATTTTACTCGAGTCAAGGTCTCCTTAAAAACTTCGGATTTTACAAATGAATGTCTGAGTGGACTATGTCCTTGGTTAATTCATAATGCTCGGCTTGTTTGTGCTCTTTTCATTTGTCATTAATGTCAATTCCCTTGTTGATATTCCAAAATCTCTCTCTCTCTCTTGATATTCCTGCATAGGTATGCTTTAAGCAAAAGCATTCTTGGCAATGTAACTGAGCACGCAGTTGAATTTCCCTTTTAATAGTGCATGAGGTTGACAGCTTATTGCTGTCAACATACCATGGAATGGCTGGAGGAATAGCCTTTTTTGGCTGTGCAAAGTGCAATGCTTTGAGTTTGGGCTCTTTCTCAAGATCTTGTTAAAATCATGTTGCACATATTCTGGATTCATAAAAATGACTAAAAAAAAAACAAACTGACTGGTGAAAGCAATCACAATCAATTGGGAGAATAATGTGTACCTAATTTAGATAGGAGGCTTTGTCATGGTCCGGTTGTATATTTCTATGTTTTTATATTCATTTTACTAATCTTACTCATTTATTACAAACTCTGATGAGTACTATGAATATTATATTTTTGATTCTGATGCAGTTGAATTGATGTTCTAGATGTCACATCTTTGTCCTCGGATGTTTTGTTCCAAAATTGAGCAAAATTTTAAAATCCTAAAGGAGCTTACCTTTATACAAAGGTTAGTTATTAGAGATTGCTATAAACCTATCAGTCATGATATTCTTGAAATTCAAAGGACTAAGAGCCAGTACCTGTTATTTTTCAGGTATATCTTCTTTCATATTTTAACCATGAAAAATTAGTGTATTTTACTACTAGTATAGTCATCTTGTATCCACATAATCCAGATATTAGTGATGGAGGCAATTTCCAAAATTGATCAAGATTAATATTTCTAATGTTTATATATCTTCTTTCATCTGTTAATCATGAAACGTTAGTGTGTGATATAACTAGTATAGGCATCTCCTATCCACATAGTCCAAATATTAGTGGTAAGCTCAATTTCTGAAGTTTGGTGAAGATCAATATTTCTAACATTCATTTTGAGGTTCTTTCATAAGGAAAATGCTGGGTGGTCAATATCTATCCTGCTAAGGTGCATTTTCAGGGTCCTTTTAAATGAAAATGTTAGGTAAAGGCCAGTAAGGAAAATATTAAGGTGCATTTTGTGTTATTATGAAGACGATAAGGTGCATTTTCCTTTTTCGGAAACATGATTTTATATCATGGCTGGAGCATACAAATTCCTGTGGCATAATAATTTTGCTGGGGCTTAGCTTGATTTTTGTTATAAAATGGCCATAAAGATATTTATCCTGTGAAGGCCCATTGCACAGGGCCTTAATTGAAATCAGCTGACCGGTTGCATGATCAAAGTTCAAAGATGATGTCAATGTTGAAACCCAGATGGATTGCTAGTTACTTGCATTATCACGTACTAACTCTAGCATTAGTCTATAGGTAACCTATGGAGCATGCTGCTCCGCAGACACTAGGTTTCTTCAGCTACTTTTTTTTTTCTTGTGTTGATTATGGGTAATGGAAGGATGTTTTACATTTTTCTTTTTTGTAAATTCGATTGGTAGCTGATAGCTGTCCTAGTTGCTGCTTGGGAGGATGGTTAACTTGCATGTAAAGAGCATAGAGACCAATAGACCATATGCAGTTTCAAATTTGATTCCCAACAATCTTATATTTGAAGCAAATACTTTTATATTATGCTGTTTCGAAAATTTTTTCTATAATTTGTATTCTTATTTTACCCCAAGAATTTTTCTAGGATTGTTTGGTTTTTGATCTATTTGCCCACTGCAGTCCTGACCTAATTCTCCTGAAAATATATTGTAAATGCTGCTAAAGAAGTCTTTTTTTTTTCAGGTGTTCCAATGTTACTTAAACTACCACCATCCATTTGTGAATGTTGCTAAAACAGTTTTGATTTTTTGTTACCTATAAACTTAGCTAATAGGGAAGGTTGGTGGTAATTAGGTACATGTGCTGCATCTATTGATCAATAAGATCTTGAGGAAAGTTGATGAACTATCTCTTTAGGCCTGAATCAATTAAACGGATCATAATAACTCTGGATATGTAGCATGTGAAATGTGATGTGCACAATGGTGCAGTTGGCACTTCTACTAAAGATTTAAACATTGTTGAGCTCAATGATCTAAATTTATTGTAGTTATCTAGTGGTCACTCAGGTTATTTCAAGATTAACTGGAAACATGTCTAACTCATGTTAGCTTTCATCTAGGTGGTGCTTGGCCAATGTTGATGATACTTCTGCAGACGATTACTACAGTCTCGTAATGGCTGCTGGGAAATCTGGAAGTTGTAAGATGTTGGAACCTTTCAAACCTCCACCAAGCAAGAAATCACGAAAGGAGCGGAACCGAGAGAAATTACCTGGAAGTACCCCTACACTTGAGGTTATGGAACAAGAAATTTGGAAAGAATTCCCCGAGGACCTTTTTGAAGCTGTCATTGCAAGGCTTCCCATTGCCACATTCTTCCGCTTCCGCTCAGTTTGCCGTAAATGGAATTCCTTGCTAGACTCACAAAGTTTCTCTCAGCATTGTGCTGAAATTCCACCAGCCAATCCCTGGTTCTATACCATTACTCATGAAAATATGAATTTTGGAGCCATGTATGACCCTTCCACAAGGAAATGGCACCAGCCAACAATCTCTTTTCTGCCGTCAAAGATGATTGCTCTGCCAGTTGCTTCTGCAGGTGGTCTAGTTTGCTTTCTTGATATTGGTCATAGAAACTTCTATGTCTGCAATCCTTTGACTCAGTCATTTAAAGAGTTGCCAGCTAGGTCAGTTAAAGTGTGGTCACGTGTTGCTGTGGGAATGACTCTGAATGGAAATTCAACCAGTGGAGGGTACAAGATCTTGTGGGTGGGGTGTGATGGAGAGTATGAAGTTTATGACTCAGTGAAGAATTCATGGAGTCGACCAGGAAGCATGCCTTCAAACATTAAGCTGCCACTATCGCTGAACTTTCGGTCACAGGCAGTTTCAGTTGGTAGCACACTTTACTTCATGCGATCAGACCCTGAAGGCATTGTGTCCTACAACATGGTTACTGGGGTATGGAAGCAATTTATTATCCCAGGCCCATTACAGCTGAGTGACCTCACACTTGCAGAGTATGAGGGCAGGATCATGCTTGTGGGATTGCTGACTAAAAATGCCGCCACTTGTGTCTGTATATGGGAGCTGCAGAAGATGACGCTCTTGTGGAAGGAGGTTGACAGAATGCCAAACATATGGTGCTTAGAGTTTTATGGGAAGCACATTAGAATGACTTGCTTGGGCAACAAAGGTATGCTTATGTTGTCATTGAGATCAAGACAAATGAATCGATTAGTTACGTACAATGTGATAAGCAGGGAGTGGCTGAAGGTTCCCGGATGTTTTGTACCACGGGGGAGAAAGCGTCAGTGGATAGCATGTGGCACTGCCTTTTACCCGTGCCTGACTGCTACTGCTTGATTGCCAACCCTTTGTGTTTGTGGCAGCACTGGCATGTTAAGGTTTTTCCTATTTTTCTGAATTTGCCACTGCATTTATGCTTTGGTTACTAACAAGCTCTGCTGCTAGTTCCTCTTCAGCCGGATTTTCTTTGTTTTAATGGCGTAAACAAGAATGCCTATGTTCTTTTTTTTTTTTTTTTGTACAAACATGTGGATGAATAACTTTAATTTCAGAAGCGTTTTGTGTAAGCGCACCTCATATCAATTATGGTGAATTAAGATAATGGTTACACAGGATTGAGTGGTTAATTGCATAGATTTGTTTCTCAACAGAAAAGGTAAGTTGTAGTTCTAATAATTTGGTTGGCCTGGCAGCTCCTTGTAAAATGATTGTGGAAATCTCATTCAGCATACTGTTTGATCACGAGAGCCTGTTACACGCCTATAGAATCTCTCTTTCCTTGAAATGATGTAAAGGAAATAGGATTTTCTGGTATTTAGCCACCAGCCACCACTGTATCTTTGCCCAACTGTCCTCCCACTAAAAGGTGAAAAAGCGCAGGCAGCAGGCTAGTTTTTCCTGAATATAGTTAACACAGCATTACCATCAACCCAGATGCAGTTGAATGGTATTAATACCAATGGAATAACTCATAAGATAATGTGAGAGAGTAAAATTTGGAATATGAAGTGGAGTTTTTTCCCATGAAAATTTAAAAAGAAATCGATTATTTCAATTTAACCATATACCTTGAATTAAATAATCATAAAATTCCATGTCAAAACTTTAAACCATAAATAAATGGTGCTGACATAACGACCATTGGTGAATCTGTTGGTTTAACAAGGATTTTAAGGACTACTATTAGTCTTTATCTCATTCATTCACAAATGAAACAGGTAAAAAAAAGTTAACATATAAAAAAGAACAAGGAGACAAGGAGAGGTCTTATTCAATTCTGCATACTTCAGAACATGAGTACGCATATCTGGTAAACGTATCATCAGTTCCCTACAAAACTAACAGAAAGGACATGACAAGACAAGTCTGTAATTTCTTAACATGGGTTTTAAAGGCTTATGCCATGCCTCCACTGGCCGCTGTCCTGATAATCTGGAAGAGAGCTGTTACAAAGAATGAAAAATAATTTTATCAGTAAACAAGGTCTTGTGATAAGCAAAAAAATTTTCATTACCAACTATATCTGGTGGGACTATTGCTAGATTCTAAATCGTAATTATAGGTGTTTTAGCAATACCCATGAAGATTACAACCCAAGAACTCAACCCAAACATAGAATTGACGAACCCCAAGAAAACTCGAGGATACAAGAGCGGCAAATATCATATAAGGATCAGTAAGGTCCATAGTACATACTCCATAATGAAAGAAAACCAACAAAAAGAAAAACTAAAACAAATTAGCTGCTAAGAATCTTACATGATCCAATGACAACGAATATGAAGAACCCAAGAAGCAATGGGCCGACAGGGTAATCCTTCCCCTTCTTTGTGGTTGTTTCAGGCACAGCTCCTCTCTTTGTTATGTTTTTCTCGAACTTCTCCACCTTCCTATCTGCAAGGCGCCTTGATGTTGTCTGCACAAACCAGAAAAAAGAGATCATTTCAAATTGGATAATCTTTTACTAAAAAACCAATTTTTTTCCAATCCCAGAAAGAAGAATTGTTTTTTGGTGATGGATTTTAACATTGATAATATATCATTGAGAAAAACAGTATTTTTATCGAATCACTTAAACTTTGAAAAGGAAGAGAATTCAAACTACTTGCATTCGGGTCATGTCAAGAGTTTTAAATTGATAATACAATGATACAAATTACTACTATAAGAAATAATGCAATTAAATTTTGTATCCAAGAACTGTTAAATTAAGGTCCATCAACCTAAATTATTCAAATAACTTTCGAACGAATACATGTTCAAATTATTAGGAATATAAATCTGCTAAATTTGAGATCCAAAACCTATGAAGTATACAATCGATTTTCCATGCGAATTCGAAAAGAGAAACGAACGGAAAACAAAAACAAACAAAAAAAAATTTAGATCAGATCGCTTCAGATAAAGCACATAAGGAAAAAAAAAACGAATTAATAAAAGAGATAAATGCGAAAACCGTAAACCGAAGATCACAAATAATAAAAATTAACAGTTTTTTAGGGAAAAGGGAGTAAAAAATTACCATGATGACAGAGGGATCAGGTATAAGGGGACGATTGCAGCGAGAAAGCGTCGGAAAATTTCAGGCGAATTCTTCTCTTTCCTTTCCGGCTAGGAAGTTTCCCCCTCTCTTTATTTTTTTTTTCTTTCCTGGTTTTCGCCCGAAAATCTCCGGGTTCTAATGGACTGTCTCAACTAATTCATCGGCCTTTATATAGAGCGGAGACAGAGAAAAGATAATTGAAGGGTCCACAGGCGTAGCGTCACCGACTTCGCTGTGATTGGTCCTGACCCTATGGGAATACGTGGCGGTATGTAATTGGTTAGTTGGAAAAACGTAGATGTGTGGGTTTTTAAAGAGTTTGGTTGAAACCGTCTTTTAATCGAAGTAATTTTTTTATTTCTTTTTATTTAGAAAAAATTAGTAAATATCAATTGAGTGTTAATTCTCTGAAAAAATAGAGTATTAATTCAAATAATATGTATTTTTAAAAATAGAGATTAAAAAAGATTTAGACTTATAATATTTTTCAGATAAATTATATAAATAAAAGTTAAAATTTAAAGATAAATTCAATTTTTTTTGAAAAATACAAGTAATTAAAATTTACTTATTTAATGTTGTTTAAAACTTAAAAATGATTTAAACCAAAGCAGATGTACCTTTTGAGGTGGTGTATATTGACACTTAAAAATTAAAAATAAGAGTATTAAAAAATATAGGTTAAAATTGTCGGAAAAGAAGGTAGATTAAAGCAAAGTTTAAAAAATATATATATATAAAAAATTATATTCACGAGGTGGACGGCTATTTTTCTATTTTACCAAGTCCACCACAAACGTAAAAGATCAATCTCTTTTTTAGAGAACATTTGAATAATTGACTCAGTCGTTTCTTGAATTTGAATCCCATTTTCCATATAAAAGAAAATTAAAAAATATTTATATGATGTGCTCTGCTATGTTTGACCTCTCTCATGGATGAATTCAACTTCTTCTAGGTTGCAAGCCATACGACGATTTTGAATTCTTCCTATCTGGTAAAAACTAAAGAACGCAATAACGATGCTTAACATTTCAGATTTACAAGGCAATTTGCAAGGTAGGTACGATCATCGGACCAAGTTCTGATTGTGAAAGGCAAAGCTCAAAGCAACCAGGAAGCAGCTTTGCTCTTTTTGCATCACTTGTGGGAGAATTCAGAATTCCAGGCTAATCCCAAAACAACAACAAAGTGAAAAAATCATCGGTGGATGCAAGGCAACCCACAAAATATACATTTGAGAACCATCCAACAACAACAATAACAAATTAAGTTTTATATTCTATAATTTTAAGATGTGCTGCATGAAAGAAAAAATAAATCATGTTAGGCTGCAGTTTTGAATCTTCTTATGCCATTTATTTATATTCAAAACAACATTTGAGAGCAATCCACTGCCAGAAAATAACATGATTTAGGATGAAACAAACTTCTTAAATTTCTGGTAGTGCATTTCAGTGATATATGTTGAGCTTTTAAGAGGAGAGGTCAGAACCTTGAAAATAAGGGTTTAAGCATCATCATTCTTGCCCACCCAAAACAATTCTTCAATATGAGCCATCCTGTACATTTTATAATTTAAATTAACAAAAGAGAGATAAACTCCTAGATAACATCAAGATACTAGAAGAAATAGGACCATCTGATTGAAAAAAAATATATATATATATATATATAAAAATCTGATAAAAGTAAATAATCATTATAAATATGATTTAAGCAGTGACTGTATCAACTCACAATCTACACTGTTATTGAACCTCTAATATGAACTAATGGTACAGCTCTACAGCCAAGCGCAAAAGATCATGAATCCATGACTATCAAATGCTACAGGATGAGACAATTGAGCAAGAAAACACTGTAAAATTGAAATAGTAAGAGTGCCAGCTTATCCAGCATGCTAAAGAGGTGTTCCCTAGACTGAAACAGCGAAGAAATAGCCCGTCTAGCTCTCTGCTCTCAAAACTCTGAGAAGTTCCACTTAGCAGAACTGATACCAGAATGAGCTTTCTCGATGAACCGCTAGAAACCCCAAAAACCCCAGGGATCTACTCCTAAAATATCAACGTGAAGATCATTGCAAGGTTAGATATACTTTCAGGTCACCTTCACAAGTTCAAGTGAGATAACCACCCAAGGTTGTACACATTAGATGAATCAGTACCATCCAATTTTACAACAGCCCAATATCATCTGTCCACATCAAACCAGTTAATCTTGAACTCAATTAATCAGGCTTATTCAGTATGCTCCATTCTCTCATCTTCTTAAGTATTTCTAAAATTGGCTACATTTTCTTTATCCACAAGAACTTTAGAGCCATTATCCCCTTCTTACCTAGCTTTTTCGCAATTCACCACTACCCCTCTATCATTAGCTTTTCCTACATCCACAACATTTTCTTCATTAATCTTCTTATCATTTTCCAGAATCTCTTCTTCCTTAACACCTATAAGTACCTGAAGAAGTTCCACTGGAGTAGCAGCTGGGTCTAGCTCCCGGCAACCCTTTGGAGCATTGGGAGCCTCTTGACCTGTAAGCAAGTATGAAGGAACTTGATGAGAGAAACGAAACATCTCTTCTCTTGGAATCCTTTTAATTTCTCTATGATCCAGATGTCGGTGAAAGACTGTCTTGAAACCAGCAACCTTGACAAGGGGGGTGACTGTGACACCTAGTTCTTCATTGTAGTCATCAAGTACTTCTACCATATCATACTTGTGTATTACTTCATCAGCTGTTAACTCATTCCAGTCAGGGGACCAGTTCCTATAGATAGCCCAAACATCACCCTTTCTAGGATATATACGAATAGCCCCGCGCATCCCTTTTGTCCACTTAACCTTGTGTGAAAAAGAATTAAGTGAGCTATTGATCTCATGCCGGCCTATTCTGAACTCCCCACAGGTTTTTGAGAAACCAGAACCTACCCAGTTAAGTGGACCCAATTCACTGTTAGTCTTTGAATTAAGCCAGCTGATCTGCATCTTGAATGGATTCAGAGATATAACATTATGGATCATAGCATAGTATCGAGGCATCCCATCATCGTCATCATATGCAGCCCATACCTGGTTATCTTCAAAAGATCTTTCAGTTCGATCCTTGTCAAAATCATGAAAATCAGGATCTGGGACATTTATGGACATTGCTTCCAATGTTTCTGCAGTGATAGCAACACCAGAACTGCCAGGAAAAGTCTTGAGACAATGATCCCCATTGTTTTTATCAACAAAGCCCCCTGACTTGTTCTCATTCTGCATGTCATTTTTTACAAAAGATTTGCTTTGTTTCTCATTCGCATTTTCATTGCCTATAATATCTTTCGATACAGTCTTAGCTGCTGACATTGAATTCCATTCATGCAGTTTCTTTCGAATTTCTCTCTTGGCCTTCTCCACCAGCAAACTTTGAATTTCTACCTGAGAGATATCTCTTGCATTGTTGTATTTAGAAGTTCCATTGATCCAACCTGTTTCTAAACTGCCTAGTTTAGATCCAGACAGATTAGCTGGACCTCCATTTCCTACACCCATTTGATGGGTAATATCAGTTCCATGGGTGCTTGCACTACTGTCTTCCATACCCCTCCTTCTCTTAGCAGCATTAGTGTATCCAGTTGAAGAAGCAACGCTTGCCCTTTTAGAGGCATGATGCTTTCTCCGCATAGCCTCTTCTCTTTTTATAGCTGCCTGTGCTTCCTCTCGCTCTCTCCTCACTTTCTCATATGCCTGCTGAACCACACTTGCAGCTTGAGCTGCAGATGAAGCACCACCAGTCCTGGAAAAAGGACCCCAATGGACGTTGTTTTGACCATATGAATCATCACTACTGAATCCTGCGACATTAGAAGAGGAGGCATGGTTTCTTCCTGAATTATTTGTGCTTTTATTAGCTGCTTGACTATTTGGATTCTGCCGCTGCTGTGAAAATTTCCAAGGGGTTGGGGTAGATGTTGTTGGGGGAGCGGTTTCTACAGCCAAAAATGGCTCATGGCAGTTAGGGCACAATAGATTATGATTAAGATACACTCTCAGATACTCATACTGCATCTTGCATCGATGACAGACAGTCCAGAAGGTATTTGGCTTTGGCTTATGAGATGATGAAGACTGACCAGCCAGGTTTGACGAACGACCAGCAGTAGTTGAAGACTGAGCAGCACGTTGGTTACTCTTGGAAGCCCTCACACTCGAACTAGTTGTTTTGGTGATGTTGTGAAAACCATTTGCCGCTTTTGATGCTGTTGAACTGCCACTAGGTGTTGAAACCTTTTGTATTACTTTCGCACTCCTCTTTTGGTCATATGCTACCCTTTTAGCCTTATCAGACAACAAACTCCATGCCTCGGAAATAAGTTTAAATGCCCCATCAGCTCCTACAGACTTATTTTTATCAGGGTGAAGCATTAGAGCCAGCTTCCTATATTGTTTCCTCACTGCTTCATCATCAGCTTGTGGGTTAACATCAAGTATGGCATACCAATCTGCTTCCCCATTTATTTTGTTCTCCGCAGAAATATGAACATCTAATGTTGCTATCATTTGGGGGATACCTTCAAGCCCAGGATACAAATTCTGGGCCTTCAAAGCAAATTTCTTTGCCCCATTAATATCCTTTGCAACGAACTTCCTCTCAGCAAGCTCTTTAGCTCTGGTGGCCTCATCCTTATTGCATTCCATTTCCCTTTCCCAGTGTTGCCCTCTAATAAAAGACCCACCAGCAAACTCTTAAAAGTTTCAGCCTTATGAATTCCTCAACTTCTGAGTTTTATCATACTCTGGAAAACAAGAAAAAGCCCAAAACCTAATGGAAAACCGATACAAACATAAACGACCCGAGTAAGAACACTGCCCAAAATCATAAAAGCAGAAACATCATCAGAGCAAGCAATTATCACCAAGAAGATAACTTCTTGTGGCGAAAAACATAGTCAAGTGATTCATTTCCAACATGTAATTACAAGCCAACAAATTCGAACATCGGAACATAAATGAAGAAATGCAAAACAGAAACGGTCAAACGCATACCAAGTTCTTTCTCTTACATGGCTTAGCTGGCAATTATTGAAAACAAAGACACATGAAATGGTAATAAAGAAACGTTTAAGAATAAAACTAATCCGAACCAAGTTACAAGGAAAACTAATCCAAATTAACACACAACTAACATCCATGGATCTACGTTGAATCAAGTTTCTGGTTCAGCTTTTGAAAAAAAAAAAAAAAAGAAAACAAACAGGGGAATACCATTTTGTCAATCACAACCCAGAAATTTTTAGTATAACAAGTGATCAGCTTATGAAGAGTATTTTTCATTTTTGTCAGAAAAGAGTGAAATTATTACCTTATAATAAGAAGAGGGCTAGTAGATGGAACATTCTTTTGTATCAGAAAGACACCATGGACATACCTCCATCACCAATTTTTTTTTCTTTTTATGCCCCCCTTTTCTCTCTCAAATCTTAAAAAATCCCCCAAAAACTGGAACTTTTCTCAAAACCCCTCTTAACCCAGATAAGACAAGGCTATTCCCAAATAACCAAAAACCATAAAAAAAACATTTTAATTTTTATTAGTTGTACGGAACCTTTCTTTCTCTCAATTTCAATATGCATTTTTTCTTTTTAGCCCCAACCAACTTTTTTTATAATTGGTTGGGAATCCTAACCATGGTTAATGTTTAACTCTTTAAATGACTTTATCAAAGTATTGTCAATGTTAACCCTAACCAACTTTTTTTATAATTGGTTGAAATTCTTAACCATGGTTAATTTTTAACTCTTCAAATGGTTTTATCCAAATATTGCCTCAAAGTTTTTTCTAGTGGGGTTAATTGTTTCTTGTGTTTCTCTTTAAAAAATATTTTTATAATTTCTAGGGAAATTTTGTTAATACTCCTTTTTTTTTTGTTTTTGCTTTTTACAATAAAAAATTAAAATTATTTATGATAAAATTATCCTTAAAGTGAATTACATTATTTTTATTAAAATTATTTTTAAATCCTTTAACCACACATTTAATCTTTTCGCAATTTTGAAAAAAATAATTACACATACGAATATTTATTTTCAAATGCTTAGGTAATTTACATAAACGAAATTTCGTAAATGTAGATAATTTCAAATAATATTCATTCGTAGATATTTTTTATTTAGTAAATAAAAATATATATTTAAAAATTTGGTTATATTTAGCATTTAACTGTAAAGAGAAAAAAAATGATCGCAAATAAAATTTGCCTAATTTCTATCATTTGAGTTAGTCTTTACAATCTCATAATTAGATATTTGTAATTTGTATATTTATATCATATAAAATATTAATAATTCATGTATTTATAATATGTTTATATAAAAATTATGTGTTATAATTCGTATTTAAATAAAAAATATGAAATATAAATTTTTATTGCTTTGTTAAACTCATTTGATTTTTTATAAAATTTTTAATCATGTTAATTTTATATTTTGTTCGTATCTTGTTAATGTAATATCACCTTATAAAGTTTTAAATTGTTAGTTTTTATAAGTTATGTTTGGTTTTGACTTTTATGCAATCAAAATTTATCAAGTTTGATAATTTATATTTTAAATATTTTATTAAATTATTTTTTATATAATAATATTTAAAATTTTTCTCACTCAAGGTTTTAAAATTTTTTTTTATATTTTAATTAACAGTATATTTAAAAATAAATTAATTCAAAATTGAAAAAATTAACCTTTAAAGTCTAATTAAGATATTATTCATGGGACAAAGATAATATTATAATTTTATATTTATTATTGAAAAAATTTTAACTGTAAAACTTATAAATAAATAAATAAATAATGAGACTCACATGAAATATAGGTTTCTAGAAATTCGTAGCTTTTGACATGTACACACCAATTAACTAAGGTTAATTACAAGATTTTATCCTATTTTCATATTTCAAAAATTTTAAAGGATATTTATTTAATTTTTCAAAATTTTTTATATTTATTCAAAATTGAACTTTAATAACCGAATGCAAAAATACATCATTCAACCAATAATTCACATATTTTGTGGTATTTTTCGATATTTAGTAAGAGAGTTTCTATTTGCATCCATTTTTTTATTTTTTTCAAAATTTTTTTAAATGAAATTATTTAATTTTATATTCTCAAACTAATCCTTCCCATTTTTAAGCCTTTTAGTTTTGAAAAAAAAAAAAAAACTTTTAAAAATTTTAAGATTTGCAATTTTTGCGATTTACAAATTTGAAATTTAAAAAAAATCTTTATGAATATCAAAAATTTTTTAAAAGTTTTCACATCATATCATTGAAATTAAGTAAAAATATAAAATTTCACATGTTGTAATTGAATGCTCTTTTTATTAAAATTATGATTTTTATCTATCAATTTGTAAATGAACTTATAATTATTTGAAACAAATAATTTATTTTTTGCAATATTGTGATTTCGAGATATGAGATTTTTTTTTCTCTTTAACAGAATTTCTGAATTTTGTTAGAATTTTAGAAAATTAATTTTTTTTGTTAAATAAAGATGATATTAATTTGATGGGTTTTGCTTAAAACCCTAAATGTACAACATAACTCTAAATGTAATTTTTTAAAAACTTATAGAATATAAATATTCAGTAAATTATAAAATTTATTGGGCATGCACATCATGAGATTTTAAATTTGAAATAAAAAATAATGATAAAATTTTACTTAAAGATAATTTTGAAAAAAAAGTAAAAAAAAAAATAGGTACAAATAGAAGCACCCATTTAGTAATACAAATTACAATTCAACTTTAACAATTTTTATTTTTTATTAAAAAATTAATTTTAGCCAATAAACTTATAATATATTTGTAAAATTAGATATTTATTTTTTGATGCTGATAATTTTAAATATAAAAAAGAAGTTTAACAAATGTGTTCTTTTTTTTTTTGCCACAAATACGTATACAAATGTTTACTTCATATATTTTTATGTTATAACTATGTATGTGTAAAATTTAAATATATAGAAAAAAAATTAAAATAAATCTCTCACAATAAAGACCAAAGAACCCCGAAAGTTTCTCTTCCAAGCCCAATCTTTGCTGTGAAACTCGGTTTATTTCTATGGCGGATTTCCTCGATCATGGAGGAAATGAATAACCGTTGTCTTTTCAATCTTCATCTCTCCATAGGAAAAGAATATAACGAATGAATGAACAAAATTTAATTTAAAGCTTCATGTTCAGTACTTCCATACCCAAACAAGATCAAGGAGATCGGATTTTGCTTTGTTGGGGGGATAAGACTCTAATGAGAGGGAATTTAAACGGGGAAGCAGCAGCCCCGCTTGGACCCAAAAAATGCGGCTTTAATCGAGCGAGCATTCAGGATGTCTTGCCTTCCACTTTATCGGGAAAAAGCCCATAGAAAACCCAGGTTTCTAAAGGGGACCAAACCCAAAATCCGGGCTATTAGTAGGCCTCAAGACCCAACCTGGAGCAACCCAATCACAACGGCGGATCTTGATCCTGAGATAAACTGGCCAGAAAGCGGATCGTGTTCGTGAGTTCGTACATCAATTTTGATCAATGGACGGACGCAATCGTTCTTCAGGTGACAATTACCCATTCACATTTTCTTTTTACAGTGTTTTCTTTTATCTCGATTGGCTAGTTCTGGAAAAAAGAACTACCATTTGGTTTGAAATTTTGGGTGGTTAATCAACAGTTAATTCGGTTAAACACCTTGTTCTTCAACGTCTAAAGCGAACACTATTTTTTGGGGCATTTAGACTTGAATTTTTAAAATAATATAATATTTTTAGATTTTTGTTTTTCAATAACAGTTCTGGGGATTGGAGTAACATCAAATCAGTTAAATAATATCCCTTGACAAGCTGAGTGCTTTCGCAGTAGATATCATTTCAATCACCATAACTTTTTTTGTGATAAAAAAGTTCGTTGGGGCTTATTGGTCATTGGAGCCATTGATTGGAAGGGTTGGCAATTGATGTTGATTTAATGAAAGGACTCTATAACGTTGATAGTAAGGGAGAAATGAAATGAATGCGCTAGGACTATCTTATGTGTTGCTGCTTGGATTCGTTTGGAAGTTAAAAAATTTTTTACTGGGCCATTGACTTCCAAATCTTTACGGGTTCAGTCGAGATTTGTTAATTTAAAATATAATATAATGATATATTATAAAAATAATATAATTTAAAAAATTATAAATAATTTAATAAAATTAAAATTAAAAAAATTTTATTTTATAATTTTATATCGACGAATTATAATATATAATTTTTATACAAAACATGATATAAATATAATATTTTATATATTATATTAATATAAATTATCATATTTAATTTAATATTTTTTTTATTTGGAAGAAAAAGGAACTTGGGTGCATCTGGCTGGTAAAAGTGAAATTTAAGAAATCCCAGTTTCAATTTCTTGATTGCTTTCTCTAGAAGCTAATCCATAACAGCTTTGCATCCACGATTTCTCTTATGTATTTAAGGGAAATCTATGGCTATACGATCATTTGTTTATATGACATCCGTCTCATAGCATGAAGCAAGTACCGTTTAGCATGACATACCAGCATTGATGATTCCTTTGACAAATACTAGTAAAATTGGAATTTTCTTTTTCTAGGACATGGGGAAAATAACCTTAAGCTAATTGTTGGACTCAATACTCGCTAGGGAAATCGTCATTTAGGTAAACTCTAATAATGCCACTTGTACATCATTTATCGCAGCTGACCCTCATCACTTGGCCCGACCCATGCAAATCACGTATCAGAGCTATCATGTAAAGGGCGGGAAGGTAAGACTAACCTTGCTCTCATAGAGACACCTAACTTACATGCTTCCCTCATCTTTTTCCTTATCAAGAAACACCTCTTTGATTGTCTTTTTTTTTCTTTGACAGGTCGGTCATGTTCTTCTCCAATTATTGACTCTTCCTTGTCAATTAAAAATGGACGAAATTTACCTAAAAATCTTTGGGTGAAGTATATAAAATTTTTTTAAAATAATTTAATAAAATTTGAATAAAAATTTAAATTAATAAATTAATATAATTTAATGTAAAATTAATAATACGAAAAAAAATTAAAAAAATTATTTATTATTTAAATTTAATCAATATTTATTCAATAATAAAAATTTTATCAATATTTTTATTAAAAATATTTATTTAAAAAATATAAATTTTTTTAAAAATTTTACACAATTTATATAACAAAATCTTTTAATTTATTAATTTTAATTTTAATTTCATTATTTTAAATAAAAAATTTCACAAATTTTATCAAAATAATTTCGTCTAAATCTTTCCCACCAAATATACCTCAATAGTAAAAACGGATTCATCCAGTTAACCTCTCAGTTACAAGCTGTCTAAAGATCTTACCTGTAAAAAAATTATGATTTGTCCTGCATTCTTCCAAATCTCAGTCCTCCAACATGCTTTGGAATTACAAGATTATCTCAAACACCAAAAGAAATCAATGGATAATAGGAGGAGCTTTGTTTTCATCGTAAAAGATTGAATTACCAGAAGTAACAGAGGCGCTGGTTTTGCCAACATGATTTCTTGGCAAAGCACAACATCTTTTTCAAACCAACACTCTCAGATTTCAGTTTTCATAGGATATCGTTATAGATGGTTTT